GATGGGGGGTGGGGGTGGGGGTGGGAGGGATACTGGGATCCGTGGTGCTGGAAAATGGGCACTGGTGGAGGGATGGGTACTCGATCATTGTATAACTGAAGCCCAAGCACAAAAATTGTAAGTCTACAACTGTACCTCATGGTGTCTCACTAATAAAAATTGAAAAAAAAGAAAAAAGAATGGTCCCAAGCTCCTGCCTGCCTGCCTGTAGCCCAGGCTCAAGGCTCAGGGCTCTGGTACCACCAGGAGCCTGTGGCTGGAGGGTTCTGCAACTGGCATGGTGAACTGCTGGCCACACAGAGCACGATGACATATTCTGGGATTGGGGGACTGAGTCAAGACCACGGAGCAACTCCCTGTCGATGCATTTGTCGAGTCTCAAATGCTTCCACACAATGGTTGGAAGCATTTGCTGCAGAGCCCAGGACTGCGGGTTCCTGGTCAACGATTCAGCCAGTGTTAGGGAACCACGTTCAAGGCTCTGGAGCCCCTCGCAGATGCACGCCCTCTCTCTCCCTGTCCCTCGACCCTGACTGGTGTTCTCATGCCGCCTGGTGTTGAATCAGGCCTCGTGGAGCAGTGGGGGAGAGAAACAGGAGGCCAGAGACTTAACCCAGAGATTTAACGGAGAGCACTGGGGATTCCTCTCATCCTTGTAGAGTTGCCAGTAAGCCCCCCTGGAGGAGGGATGCTTCAAATTATGGAGCAGATGGTGGAGAGGGAGGGAATAGACCATCATCTTGCAGCAGTCCACTGACCACTGGAATCTCAACACTGCCTCCTGTTCCCCCAGGGAACTTCGAACCCACTGCCCAGCTAGTTTTATCAAAACTCTTGGCCCTTACCTAGGAGGTGATGGGGTTATTATTATTAATTCTTCTTGTTTTGTTTTAGGGCCACACGAGGCTGTGCTTAGAGCTTACTCCTGGTTCTGGGCTCAGGGATCACTCTTGATGGGTTTAGGGGCTTGAACCGGGGTTGGTTGCTTGCAAGGCAAACATATTAGTCTCTGTACTATCTTTCCAGCCCCAGTTGTTATTAATTCTTTAGAGATCACCATCTTCTCAGGTTGCTAGGCCCTGAATGAATAAACTCTTCTCTCTCTCTCTCTCTCTCTGTGTCTCTCTCTCTCACACACACATTATCTAGTTATAATAAAGTTCAACCTTGGTCTCTTGAATATTGGCCTTCAAGCTGTGAATGCCTGAACTTAGATTCAGAAATAATGGCATGGCATCTCTACAACCTCTCAGAGGCAAGACACGGGTTCCCATCTCATTGTTGTTATTTTTTATGATTTTGTTTACATGGCAAACCTGGGATCTCACACAAGCAAGGCAAGTATTTGACAAAGGAACTGCATTAATACCTGTTTCCCCCAGTTTTCAGATGAGAATCATTGAAATAGAGTGACTGGCAGGACAGGATGGTGGGGAAAACAGCTGGGTTATTTTTTCATTTTGAGAGTACCTCGCCCGCACGGCAAAGCCTAGAAAGTGCCCCGTGACATATTTGATATGCCAAACACAGTAACAAGTCTCACAATGGAGATGTTACTGGTGTCCGCTCGAGCAAATCGATGAACAATGGGAGGACAGTGCTACAGTGCTATTTTGTATAAATGTTTTTGATTTCGAAATGGTCTGTCCTGGTGAATGACTCCATTGTCACTTGAGAAGGAAGTATGTTTTCCTACGTTTGTGTGGTATGTCCTTTATTTTGCTCCCCTGCCCGGCCCCAGTTTGTTTAAACACTGTGGTTTACTAAGTTGTTCATGAAGATTTCTTAGAGGTATTCAATATTCCAATCCTAATCCTATCAATACTGTCACCTTCTTTCCAATTCTTCCAACCACCCTTCAAGCCTGCTCCCATAGCAGGGCCCAAATAATTTATTTTATTTATTTATTTGCTTTTTGGGTCACACCTGGAGATGCACAGGGGTTCCTCCTGGCTCTGCACTCAGGAATTACTCCTGGCGGTGCTCAAGGGACCATATGGGATGCTGGGAATCGAACCCAGGTCGGTTGTGTGCAAGGCAAACACCCTACCCGCTGTGCTATTGCTCCAGCCCCCCAAATAATTTATTTTATATTTCTTGTTACCCCTAAATGGCTAAGGGAGTGATCAAAAATATCTCCGTGGAATAAAATTTGTGAAAACTGCTGTATCTCACCATGAGGACATGAAGTTCCTGTTTACTAAGCTGTTGTTGCTTGTCAAACCTTCTGTGTTCATGTTTTTGATGGCTTCTGCGGTACATCCCGTCCAATCTGGTGTGCGCCTACTGGGGTGTCCATGTTGTAGAGTTTGGGTGGAGATTGCAGTCCAGAAAATCCAGAATATTTAACTAGGTAGTCCAGCCAAAGTTGTGGCGGCAGCTGCCGGGGCTCTGTTTGTGTGGGAGCTGGCCTACCCCCCTCGGAGATGGCCGCAGTGGTCTCAGCTGGGAGGAACAGGGTGTCTGAGAAATTTTTTCAGCTAGCTGATCTCTTTTGAGGTTTATTTATGAGTCTCTGGGCAAAGCCAGTAGATGAGTTTACGTGGCAACAGTGGTCAGTGGTGGTGGTGGGGATGTGGGCGTGGACACGGGGTCTTTCAGAAGTAAGGGGAGGTCACACTTCCAGGCTGCGAGAAGGCCTGGACTTCTCAGCCACGCAGACTCGTGTATCTGATGTTTGCAGCTCAAGGACAAGTTCTGCCTTTTCCTCACCCTGTCCCAGAGATAAGGTCTCTCTCCAGGCAAGTCCCAAGCCCACAGTCGCCTTCGTCTCTCTCTTTCTCCTCCATGCCTCCATTTCACCCACCAGCGCGTCTTGTCTACTTAACCTTTGAAGAATACCATCAGGGGCTGGGGGGGATTGTTCACGTTCAGAGCACAGGAAGGTGCGAGGTCCCGAGCTGGGTCCCAGACACTGCATGGTCCTGGGAGCACGGAGAGACGGGCCTTGCTGGGGCCGAGAGAGAGAGAGAAAGAGAGAGAGAGAAAGAGAGAGAGAGAAAGAGAGAGAGAGAAAGAGAAAGAGAGAGAGAAAGAGAGAGAGAAAGAGAGAGAGAAAGAGAGAGAGAAAGAGAGAAAGAGAGAGAAAGAGAGAGAGAAAGAGAGAGAAAGAGAGAGAGAAAGAGAGAGAAAGAGAGAGAGACAAAGAGAGAGAGAAAGAGAGAGAGAAAGAGAGAGAGAAAGAGAGAGAGAAAGAGAGAGAAAGAGAGAGAAAGAGAGAGAGAAAGAGAGAGAGAAAGAGAGAAAGAGAGAGAGAAAGAGAGAGAGAAAGAGAGAAAGAGAAAGAGAGAGAGAAAGAGAGAGAGTTGTGCCCAAGTTTCAGATCCCCAATTACCGAGAGACCAAGTCCACACATGATGATGCAAAACCAAAGGAACTTTAATATTAGCTCGAGCCAGTGCTAGCCCGAGCTAGGGTCCAAGCCCCATCCAACACAGTGTCTTGACAAGGACCCTGACTCCAAATCACAAGCAGTTTCTACAGGGTTCAGAATTAAGAAGCAATTTATATACTGCTCTATTTTTTCGCATCGGCCCTATTACAATGGTGGTCAGCAATTGGGCAATGGTTAGTAAGAGTTTCTAAGGAGGGTACAGTGACCCCCATGACTGGCCAGAACCAACTGTCCAATTCCTTGTCTTGGCAAATTACTTAACTGGGAGTCTACCAGAAACTGCAAGTCCTGTTCTGGGGAAACAGAAACTGAGGCCTAGCTGAGGCTTAATGTTAGCTGCAGCTTGTCATGGAACCAGTTTTGCCCTCGAGAGAGAGAGAGGGAGAGAGAGAGGGAGAGAGAGACCTGGCATGATCTCGACTTTCTCGGCCAGTGCCCGCGGCCTGGGCCTCTGCTTGGTGTGGCTCATCCTCACTGCCCGCAGAGCCCCTGTTCTCTAGCAGGCTGTTCAGAGGTGGCAGGTCTGGGGCGCGTCTCTCCTAGGCCCCCGGAGCCTTCACCGGCCCCACAGCACTGAGCACAGGAGTGGAGGCAGCTCCTGTAGCGGCTCTGCACTTGGCCACGCCTGTTTCCCAGCTCTGGGCTGGCGAGTAGCAAGATTCAGTCAGATGTTTTCCAGGTGAGCAATGAAGGAAAGGGGGAAAAAGGGCCTGATGGGGAAGAAGCACCGGGTCGTGTCCCTGGGCTCACAGGCCCTGCTCACAAGTGTGGGTCTTTCTGGAAGAGCCCCCTGCAGCTGTTTCATAGCTGCACGGTGGGGACAGAGAGGGGCATCCTGCAAAGACTGTGTCCAACCGTGATGTCGGGGGAGCTGGGGGCAGGAGGAGGGCACCTGAGGGGGGCATGAACAGGCATTTCTGGAGCCTCTGCTCAGCTGGCCTGCCCAGCCTGCAGGGAAAGGTCAGGCCGGCAGCTCCCGGCCTCGGCAGAGTCCAGGGCCAGGCTGCAGTTCCCACTGGAAGGAGAGGCAGAGTCCTGAGTGCTGTGAGCTTGCATGTTTATTGACAACCAGAAGGACACAGAGAGTACAAACCCGCACCCACCCCAGCCCCCGACGCCTCGCAGACACAGACCCTCCCACGGGTCTGGCCTGGGCCTCACGGACACCCCCACAGCGGGGCGTGGGCTGGACCAGGAAGCGCCTCGCTGCCGGCACCCCACCCAGCAACACCCCAGGAAAAGAAGCAGCCACGTGAAGAACCGTCTTGGAGGGACATAGGGACTAGGGGTCCCTGTGAGTCAGGAGGGGACGGGGGCAGGGTAGGGGGCAAGGAACAGGCAGGGGGGACCTGGGACGCTCCTTGCTCTGAAGGGGGACACAGTGCCCAGCACGTGCTTTCTGCCTTTGGGGGTTTCCTTTGCTCCCCCACCTGGTGTTTAGCTTTAGGACCACCTAAGGACAGGTGTGACACAGCATCCCTTGGGGAGAGCAGGATGGGGGGCTTCCTGGCTGCTGGCCGGAGCTGGAGCCCACGCTGGCTGCAGGCCCGGTGCCCGTGGACGCAGCCGGAGATGGCGGGGTGGGGTGGGGGCGGTTCTCCCGGGCACACGTGGTGGCCGGCTCAGTACTTGGTCCTGCGGGACGTGGTGGTGGATGCGAAGCGGACGCTGGAACTGCGGCTGGTGCGCCCCCCGCTGCAGCTGCTGAAGCCCCCCTCGGTGGGCAGCGGGCAGGGGAGGCTGGGGCTGCAGGCCTCACCCACCAGCACGGAGCCCCCCCGGGAGCCAGCCCCCAGGTTGGAGCCACAGGCGCCGACGCCTCCATAGCGGACGTTGCTGCTGCCACCGGAGAAGGTGACCCCGCTGCTGCCAGAGAAGGTGACGCCGCCACGGGAGAAACCGGAACCGCAGGGCAGGGACTCGGGCCCGCACACCAGGCCGCCCCGGGAGCTGCTCACGGCTGGGGAGGAAAGTCAGAGTGAGGAAGGGGGGGCACGAGAAGGGACCCCACAGCCATGGGCCCAAGGTCCACGCGGCCCGTGGCGACTTTCCCTTCCCAAAGGCCGGGACCCCACTAAGGTGAGGGCCGAAACCGAGGTCCATAACTGTGCCTGCACTGTGGGCGGAAGTGAGCTGGGTCACCCAGGCAGCCGACAAAGCCACACGCCTTCTCTCTCCCAGCTCCCACCCCGCAGCCCCCAGGGTCGCCTTTTGTCTCTCCTCTTTCCCGTCCCTCTGCAGTCTCTGCTCTGTAGCTCTCTGCCTGTCCCTGGGCACGCCTCCATGCCCACGGCTGCATCCCACTAACTCTTGCTGAGAATGCTGCCATCTCATCTTCTGAGACCCTCCAATGGCTACGGGGTGTCCCTGAGAGCGTCTGCTCCTGAGTTTCTCTTCTGACTGTGACTTCCGGCACAGCGAGAGCATGCGTGTTCTCTGAGTGACCGAAAGGGGGATGACAAGGCCCACTACTCCCCGCCAAAGCTGTGTTTTGGGATTCGGGGTGATAATGCGTAGGGTTTCCCTTCTCAGTAAGATCAGACTTCCTGAAAGCAGGTGTGGGGGCCCTGTCCAGCGGCACACATGCAGGGGCACGGCCTGTGGGACAGCACAAGGGTGCAGGACCCCTGCTACCTGAAGTGTAGGGAGGGAATACCATGCTGCAGGTCTTGCCAGTCTACCCAGGGTCTTGGGCCTCAAAGGATAAGGCCACGCTAAACCAAAAGGCTGACCTTGTTCTAGAACCTTCTTGACCCAGTGCTTTGTGATTTGCGATTGCTTTTCTTCGGAAGGAAGTTTCTGGGGGATAGCTGAGACCTTAGCTCTGGGGTCCCTGCACCCTGGAATGTCTTGGCCAAGCCTGCCCTGAACTCCTGACCCCACCAAGGACCCTCAGCGAAAGGAAGATGGAAGGGACCCAGGAGACAGATGTGTGAAGGGCAAAAGAGGAAGTTCCTTACATATGTTTACGGGTCCGACGCCTTCGCAGATGCTGTAGGGAGAGAGAAATGGGTCAGCGGCGGGTACCTTGTGGGTTGCAGGTTTACTAGCAAATGGGCTCTTAGAAAAGGACGTGGTGCTCTTGTTCCCAGCTACGAGAAACATCTGCTTTGAAAGGTTATATATTCTTGAACCCTAACCCCAAATCAGTAACTCAAAAGATTTGAAGCCCCCTCTCTCCCCACTCTGGTCCCACAAGCCCGCCCACCCCGTCCCTGCAAAACGGAGCCCATCTGGCAGGGCTGCCCACAGGCCTGGTGTCTCTTGCATTTAGGGGACATAGCTCCAGCACCGTCTTCCAACCCTGACTCGTGAGCAGAAAAGATGCAGAAAAGACCTCGCTGTTGAGTGTCTTCCCTGGACCCCTCCCAGTGAGTGAGAGGCCCCCTGCCTGTCAGGGACACTGCCCCTGCGGCCGGGAGCACTTACCGGATCTCCTCGCCCTCCAGCAGGCGCCGGTAGGTGGCGATCTCGATGTCCAGGCCCAGCTTGACGTTCATCAGCTCCTGGTACTCACGCAGCTGCCGCGCCATGTCCTGCTTGGCCTGCTGCAGGGCTCCCTCCAGGTCGGCCAGCTTGCACTTGGCGTCGGAGAGGGCCGCCTCGCCCTGCTGCTCCGCCTCGGCCACGGAGGCCTCTAGCTTGGCCCGCTGTAGGGAAGGAGGTGGGCTTTGGCAGGGGCCGGGGACCCCCAGGTGGTGCTGGACATTGCTCCTTGTCGCTGGGAACCAGCCTGGTGCTGAGCCAGGGATGGAACTCAGGGGGCTGCATCTCTAAGGACGCTGATAACTTGTAACTGCGGGGAGGGCAGGACAGGGGGGAGCCATCGCTTTCCTTCATTTTCTGTCCCCAGGGACTTGCACTTCCTGGGGTCTTGGGGCAGACCGGTTCTTTCCGCCTCACTTGCCTCTCTAAGTTGGCCCCAGATTTCCCTTCTGCCTGGAGATTCTTCCTGCCCATGTTTTCCTCCTCCAGGAAGCCTTCCTGGTCAAATTCCCGCTTGCTTCTGTTTCTGGCACCGTCTGTTTCTGACTCCTTCACCTTATCAGACGAGGGGCTCCCCAAAGCCTGCAGTGGGGGCACCCTGCCTCTACTCCCCTCTGCCCACCTGTGCCTTGGCGTGCTCGATCTCGGCCTTCAGCCTCTGGATCAGGCGGGTCAGCTCGTTGATCTCGTCCCGGGTGTTGCGCAAGTTGTCACAGTGCTGTCCAGCTGTCACCCGCATCTCCTCATACTGGGGGCGGGGAGAGACGTGAGTTTGGGGGTTCACAGCCCTGCTGGGGTTGGGATCCCCCCCGGGTCTGCTCCCTGGGCCCCGGCCCCATCCTGCCCGCTCACCTTGGTCTGGTACCAGGCCTCCGCATCCGCCCGGCTGCGCCTGGCGATCTCCTCGTACTGGGCCTTGATGTCAGCGATGATGCCATCGAGGTTCAAGTCCCGGCTGTTGTCCATCTTCACAATGACCGACGTCTCTGAGATGTGTGACTGCAGCAGCTGTATCTCCTGTGGGGAGTGAGGTGGGCAGGAAGTGGCTCAGAGCCCCCACAGAGCCCAAAGCTGTGGCCCCCAGGTTGGGAGCAAAGCACCCGATTCAGGTGTGGCCAGCCCCGGGGGCCAGCCAAGGAAAGGAAGCCCCAGACCGTTTCCATTGGACTCCATGTCCACAGAGGCATCTGGAACCTCAGTGCACTCAGGTGCATTGCCAGTGGCCTCAGGTGGGGGGATGGGTATGATAGGATTTAAACTCTGGCTTCTCCACAAATTGCCAGTTACAGATCACCCAGAGCTCAGAACCCCTCTCTCCTGAGCCCTGCACAGAGCCAGGGAAATGCCTGGAAATGGCCTGAGGCAGAGGGCCTCAGGGGAGCTCCCCCACCGTCCCACCCAACGCCTGGCACTTGGCATAGAGGGCTTATGCTGGTGACACCTGGATGAAACAAAAGCGTTTGCTTGACTAATTAGGCCAAGCAATTCTTTTTACATCTGTTTTCCAGCGTCCTCGAATCAGCTGCTAGGGAGCGACATTCCTAGACTCCTCCTTCGGATTGGCCCATGGTGAGGTGAGCGATAGATTCACGGGTTGTGTCCAGCCTGAGTCAGGCTCCCGAGGCCGCATACCTGACTCTGCTGAGATCCAGTGATACAGCGAGGACATGTGTGTGTGTGTGTGTGTGTGTGTGTGTGTGTGTTGATACTGTCACAAAGCATGCCTGTCCATGTGAAGACACCAGCGAGCATGGGTCTCCAGAGCCCGATCTGAGGCCACGACTGCTCACCTCCATGTACAAGGCTTTCAGGAAGTCAATATCCTGGGTTAAGGAGTCTGCGTTGGCCTCCAGATCAGACTTGTTTAAGAAAGCTGCGTCCACGTCCTACACGGGAGAGAAAGATTGATGCTCATGGAGAGGCACTGCGTCCTCTGGTGGGCTGTGAGATGTGGGACCATCAGGACAGTCCCCATGGGGCTGAGGCCATGAATAGGGGCAGCGCCATGGGTGGAACCGCCCCTGAGTGAGGGTTTTTCTCCCCCGCACCACACGATCTTGCTGAGGGCAGGTGTGGTCTGATCTTACTTAGAGGTGAGAAGAGTCTGGTTAGCCCCAGACTCGCTAAGGGCTGACCCCTCAGCTCTAATGAAGCCTGACAACTAGCATGGGGCCTGATTGAATGTCCGAGGGGGCTCTTGAGTAACCCCGGATTTAGCAGTTTCCTGGGATCTCTTGAAATCTCCCTCTGGAGGGGATAGTCAGCCTGACTCTGTCCCTTACCTTCTTCAGGGTCACAAACTCATTCTCAGCGTTGGCCCGGAACACCACCTCTTCTTCATACCTGGATGGGAAGGATTGGGAGGGTGAGTTCTTCCTGGGGGTGGGGGTGGGGGCAATGGTCCACAATTCAGTGGACATTTATGCTCTCGGCTCCTGCCAGAGCATGGGTCACTGTGGTCATCTATGTAACATCTACTCTGTCCCCTCTTTGAGACCTCTTATGAACCAGCAAGTCTGAGTCTCCCCAAGTCCCTGTTTCCTTTCAGACTTGGGTGTGGGATCTGGAGATCTGTACAGACTCACTGTTCTTCTGGGAAAGACTCACAGCCACTACACGTGACATCGAGCAAGTTGGACCCACTGGTGGCCACAGCTGTGTTGACCCCCAAGCCAAGACAGCCCCTCTCCACCCCCAGGCAAGCTTGGGACAGACCATATGCCCCCTATCTTTCCCACACAGGGCCCCTCCCCTGCCCTTCCAGATCACCGTGTTCTCCCCAGTCTTCAGATTGTGTCTGAAACACAACTGCACGTCACCCCCATCTACTCAGCTGTTTTTGTCAGAGCTGGGCTGCCAAGTGGGGGAGAAGCGGGGCCTGCCCTTGGCCTGTGCAGCCCAGAGGCCACTCACTTCTTTTTGAAACCCTCCAGGACATCCTGCAGGTGGTTCCTCTCAGCCTCGAGCCGGGCCCGGTCATTGGAGACGATGTCCAGCTGCCTCCGCAGGTTACTGATGTAGCTCGCAAAGAGGGGCTCCATGTTGCTCCTGGCACATTTCTGCTCTTGGAGGAAGTTCCACTTGGTCTCCAGGAGCTTGTTCTGCTGTTCCAGGAAGCGCACCTAAACCCACGAAGCAAAGAGATGGCAGCTGAGATGCTGACTCATGAGGACCAGGTGGCCTGAGAGGACACCGTTCTCTCCTCGCTTGTCTCTTATTCTCCCTCTAACTCAGTGTAGTTCCAAGAGCAGGCTTAGCTCTAAACCTCCTCCTGTTCAGCCGGGCATTTGGAGCCAAAGGCCTCCCACACCGTTTCCCATTCTGCCGTCCCACGGCAGCTCGCCTGGCCTTTGCGAAAATGGAATCCACCTGAGTTTAAAATGGGTGCCAGCCGTCCCTGGCAGAAAACGAATTGCTAAGCAAAGAACAGGTGAGTGAGATGTGGCACTAGGAGACAGGGATTCTCGTCTTTCAAGTTATCCCTCACATCCCAGATGGTCCCTCTGCAGTACAGTGTCGGAGATCCTGGAGTCCATAGACTCTTGCTCCTGCAGTTCAGAGAACACCAAAACTCTGGGTGCTGGGCATCCCTCTGTCTCCCACCTGAGCATTCCTGCTTCCTGTAGACACGGGATGTGGGATAGCCTCCCCTCACAACCTTCCTCTCTTCAGCCTGAAGACTGAACCCTGGGGTAGGTCACTGTCTCCCCAGCCCAGACACCTTGGCTAAGCCCCAGCATACCACCTACCACAAGGTCTGAGTTCTTGTGGCTTGTAAAAAAATTGGTCAAATCCATTCCCTGCTTTCCTAAGCCTGGACGGATGGGCCCAGCCAGCCTCAGAAGTGAGAAAAGTTCACTGTCACTGTCACTGTCCTCCCATTGTTCATCGATTTGCTCGAGCGGGCCCAGTAATGTCTCCATCGGAGACTTTTTGTTGTTACTGTGTTTGGCATATTGAACGCATCATGGGTAGCTTGCCAGGCTCTGCCGTGCGGGCGAGATACTCTCGGTAGCTTGCCGGGCTCTCCGAGAGGGGCAGAGGAATTGAACTCGGGTCGGCCATGTTGGCTGCATGCGAGGCAAATGCCCTACCTCTGTGCTATCACTCCAGCCCTCAAAAAGAGCAAAAGTATTCCAGAGGAGCCTTTATCCTTGTACCAGCTCCTGCCCGTCCAATGTCCAGGTGTCTGGCCTGCTTCAGGAGCTGCTTCCAAGTGACCAGGCAGCTGGCTGGGCTCAGTTTGCTTGCAAGTTTGGATGCTCTTCTGTCTTCCAGAAGACACAGCCCAGGTCTGCTCTACCACCTAGCGCTTCCTGAAGCCCGTCCTTGCTCTGCAGAGTCACCCCAAGATCAAGCCACAGTGCCTCAGGTTGGCACCTGAAGCCTCTGACCACATTCACTGTGCTGTGCCCACACCAGTTCCTCTTAAGGAAAAGAACTTCCTGATGCCTTTGAGCTCTTATCCGCCCAGTCCCGGTTCAGCAGTCTTAGGTACCTTGTCGATGAAGGAGGCAAATTTGTTGTTCAGGGTCTTGATTTGCTCCTTTTCATCCTTCTTCACCCTCTGGGCATTGGGGTCAATCTCCAGGTTGAGGGGGGTCAGCAGACTCTGGTTGACAGTCACTGCTGTGATAGAGGGGGCAGCGGGCACTCCACCACCACCAATCCTGTAGCCGAAGCCAGGGCCACCGAAACCACCGCTAAAGCCACCGCCAGCCCCAAACCCCAGACCGACGCTGCTACCGGCACCAAAGCCTAGACCAGCGCAGCTCCCATCACCAAAGCCATAGGCCGTTCCGCTGCCAGCACCGAAGCCAACTCCACAGCGGATGGGACGAGGGCACCCCATGGCCATCCGGGGTGAGCAGGATCCGAAGGAGACGACACTCCTGCTCCCAAAGCCACCATGACCCCGGAAGCTGGATCCACTGCGGCAGGAGGCAGAGCTGGCCCGGAAGCGATTCATGCTCTGGGGTGCCACGGCGGAGCAAGAGCTGAAGTTGCCCATCCGGCGGCCAGAGCTGACTCGGTAGGAGCGGCAAGACATGATGGCTTCTTGGGGGAGCAGAAGGGCGATCTCAGAATAGGGGTGACAGGAGCTGAGAGTCCAATGAGGCTAGTGGATTGCTCTCAACCCTTTTATGTATGTGGGGATTTGAGGATTGGCCCCATAAAAACGAAAAAGCCATTTGGAGACATTTATGAGCTTGGGTAGTTAGCAGAAACTCTTTAAGCCTCTAACCTCCTTCACAGTGAGCTAATCTGACACACCTACTCTCTTTGGGATCAGCACTGTCACATCAAACCTATAAACATTAAAAACACATAAACACATAAACATTATGGTCCTATTTTTTCCCACAAGTCCACCACAATTGCCATTATGGGGACATTAATTTGATCTGGTCATAAATCCAATAGACCTTTTCACTGCAAGTGTGGCTAACCGCCAGAAAGTTCTCATGGTTAGCAGGGCCAGAAGGAGGTTCACTAAGGGATGCATCTGTCCTTCAGAAAAAGACCTCTCGATAGATATTTGTGTGTGTGTGTGTGTGTGTGTGTGTGTGCGTGTGTGTATGTGTGTGCAGGAGAGAGACAGGTCTACACAGTCTTGAATAAGAAATGATACTGTGAGAATATAGTTTAGTGCATCCCTACAAATGCATAGTAAAACCTTTTGCAGTGTTTTATCTACAGTCCATAACTTGCTTAAATTTTTAGTGAAGTTTATTTGGTTAGTGCAGATAAATATCTTATTTAAGACACTGAAAGGAGATATTTATTTATTTATTTATTTATTTATTTATTCTACAACAATTACCTATAGTGTCCCAAGCTGTGTGTTTGGTGCTGGGGTTCAATATAGCCAGGACAGTCTATTCTTGTGGTGGTGAGGAAGATAAATCTTGAGGACTTCTACCAGTCAACACTTTTGTGGTATAACCTGAATCCAAAATGTGCCAATAGTGTTTGGCCATTTGACTGTAGAAAGTTAGCCACATGATTTCAAGACCCCAGAAATATGTTCTAATTGATATATAGTTGTTGGTGACGTTTTCTTGACTTACTGATAATTTTTTGACTAGGATAGCAGTAAGAATCTGGATATAAAGATTCTTATTTCTATCCCATCTATTTTTGGATAGAAAATAAAAAGTTCTAAGCTACTAGACATTATTATTGTTATCGATAGTGTAGAAAGTTCAGGACCCAGTTTATGATTTATAATCTAGTATGCAATGTGGCGAATTCTGCCTATCTTGAGCCTGGGGAAACCTATATTTGAATAAAGGAGATTCTCTACACTCTTGGGTATCTACTTGGAAGGGAATGTGAGTTTATAACAAGATAACCATCGCAAGTCTTCAGTATTTTTTCTTCTTCTTCATGTATGATTTATTTTCTTTTCTTGTCTAACTGCATTTGCTAGATCTACCAAAATCATGTTAAAAAACACCAGTCAAAGGAAATGTTCTTGCCTTTTCCTGATTAGAGTGGAAATGCCCCAAATTTCTCACCATGAAGTGTGACATTAGCTGTGTTTTTGTTTGTTTGTTTGGTTGGTTGGTTGGTTGGCTGGTGTTTTGGGTGTGTGTGTGATAAATGTATCAAATTAAGGACAAGTCTCTCTATTCCTAGCTTATTACTTTTTGCGTAGACACAGCTACAGCTAGACGTCTAAAGGAGGAAGACGCAGAAGAGCAGACTTTGGGGCTCTGGCTGCTAAGTCTCTTCTTACTGCATCTTCTACTGCCTGCTCGGCAAGCCCAACCCGTCACTGGTTCTGTCCAGGCATCGTCCTCAACTCTAGCTTGGCTCCCTTTCCCTTCAACCTCTTCTTTGAGCGTCAGAGTGACCCTCTAAAATCTTGTCTTGGGCCCAGGCCCTTTTTATGTTTTTCCTTTTCTTCGTTACTATTGAGGCACAGCTACAAAGTTGTTTGGGATTGAGTTTTAGTCATATAACGTTCCGACGCCCATCCCTTCACCAGTGTCCCCGCCACCAATGTCCCCAGTTTCCTTCCCACAGTCCCCCGTCCCACCTAGCCTGCCTCTACAGCAGACACACTTTCTCCTCATTTTTCCTTTTCGGCACCATGGTTTGCAGTACTGTTACTGAAAGGGTATCATGAATATCCCTTTCCTTCCTTTCAGTACCCAGTCCAGAGTGGTCATTTTCTACTCTCATGGTCAAGTGGTCCCTTCTCTGTCCGAGCTGCCCTCCCTCCAACCCGCGATGTGGCAAGCTTCCTGCTGGGGGGCAGTTCTTCTGCACCAAGCTATTTATCTATGCTTAACCCCCTCCAAGGGTTCCCCCAACTCCCTCGAAGTCCCTGTCATCCAGAGCACCCCTCCTCCCCACGACTGTTTCTGTCTCTCTGCCCTATTGCCTCAGTCACCTGCTGTCCGTAACCAGGAAAGACGTCTCCTGGCTCTCACATCTCCCCACATGTGTGTTCTCTGCTGGGATCCCCTTTTCCTCCACGAGCTACCTGACTGCTTCCTCCCCTGCCCTGCCCTGCACAGAGGCCACCCTTGATAGCAAGTCCCCTCTACATGTCTGGTGTGTCCTTTCCCCACTGCGTCCTTGTTTTGGAGCTGTGGCTCCTGGACTTCTCCTGCATGATGTGCTCTTCTGCCAGGTGGCTTCCCCAGATGACACGGAAACCTCAGGATGTAAGTTGTGAGTCGGTCTTCTCCTCTGCGTCCTCCCTGCAGTGGTGCGGGACAGACACCCAGGCTAGTGTGATGACTGGATGAATACTCCAGCCAGGCTACAAGCAGGAGGAAAATGGAATGAAAGGAACAAAGAGGAAACAGAGGAGAAATTCCAGCGTTTGGGTTTGGCAAGTATTTCAGACTAAGGCGACTCCAGGCTCCCAGACAGGAAAGGCTGGAGATGGTGATGACGCAGATACTCCGGAGTAGGCAGGACCATTAACCTTGGGATGTCCGTTTGAAGGATAGGGCAGCCTTGCCCTTGGAGGCCCGGTCAGGCGCTGTCCTTGGAGACTGGGAAGGGGCCAGCGAAGCCCTGTGAGGGGGCAGAGCAGGGAACCGAAGGGATGGCACAGAGAAGGTCAGTGGCCATGTTGGACAGAGGACAGAATTTATTGAGCCCTGGTAGGGAACAAGACTCAGTTTCCATTTTGCGGCTAGCAGCAGGTGGTCAGGAATGGGGGTATATGGAGGCAGAATGTGCAGGTTCTGCCCAGGTGCAGGCAGAAGGTACTTATCAACAGACAACTGAGTACCACCACTAGCCAAAGCTGATTGGCTTTCTAGTCTCACCAGGCCTGACCATTCGAAACAACCACTGTTCTCCAAGGCTTATTGGTGACCTTTGTTTAATCTCTCTAAGCCTCAGTTTCCTCGTCTGTGAAATAGATCTATAGCTACTCAGCAGAAATTCACTTCCAGTGTGAAAATGGGGGCGCAGATCATGCAACACCTGGTGTCCCCCAGTTCTTACCTTGCACCCCCCCTTCTCTCTACCCCTTCCTCTGTCTTTGGCAGTGCCCCTCGCTTCCAAGACAAGACACTCCTCTTCCCCGAAGCACTCCACCTTCTTCTGCTCCATTGGCGATGACCTTCGTGTTCCCCACAGCCCTTCCCGGACTGGGCCCCGAGTCAGAGCCGTGCAGGGTGGGGGGGACTGGGGAGCAGTCAAGCCTGGCCCCTGCTCGGGAATGAGCTGCCCCGTCATCCGTATTGTCCAGAGGCATTATTTCACCCGATGATGCATCGTGCCAACCTCAGCCATTCTTTGGGGGGTGGCAGGCCGGGAGAGGGGAGGCGTTTCCCGGGAAGCCCTGGGATGAGGTTTTGCTGTGGTGTCTGTTTTCTCTTCCTGGTGTCTGTCAGCCGGCCTGGGTGTCCGCCTCACCATGACCCGCTGGCTCATCACGATGCTATCTGCTGAGGGGGGGATGGCGAAAAGTGCTGAGTGGGGCAGGCTAGAGGTGGGGCCCTGCTGGCTAGCTGAGTGGGTTGTGTGTGTGTGTGTGTGTGTGTGTGTGTATGTGTGTGCATGTGTGTGTGCGTGCGTGTGTGTGTGTGTGTGTGTGTGTGTGTGTTCCTGCCAGCGTGGGAAGCCAGGAAGGTGAGAGGGAAATCCCAAGGCTGGGAAGGCTTTGCTCAAAGCCGCCTTCTGAGCGTTTCTGTTTTGCCTGGGGACAAGTGTGTGCAGGAGAGCCAGGCTGGGCTCAAGGTCCTCCTGCCGAGACCTGCCCACTGGGACAGGCCGCTCAAGAGTCACAGGCCGAAGGAAGGGGGCAGGTGGGAAAGGCCGGATCTACCCTGGCCCAGGCCCTCAGACCAATGACAGGTTGGTGGCATCTTAGACCCTCTCCCTGGTGGGGGAACTTGAGCCTTTGGGTGGGGCTCATGTCTTTTCCAGCTTAATCCTTCCCTTCCTGTTGCCCACTCTGCTGCCATCACTACAAGGAAACACACACACACAGAGCAGCGTGCACCCACAGCCTTGGCTGGGAATCTGAGGTGTGCCGGGTCTGCGTGTTGGTGCTGGCCAGGAGGCTCAGCCTCTCTCCCTTCCCACTCCGTGCTCCTCTCCTCCTTTGTCTACCCCACTGCTTCAGGTCCTGAGTCGGGTGGACGGGGCAGCCGAGGTGCCCTGGGCCAGCTCTTGGGACTGGCATGAGGAAAGGGCTGTGCTGGGACCGAGAGAGTACTGGAGAAGCGGGACGGTGGGCTGAGGAAATTTAAGACATTCTGAGCAGACTAACACAACACAAGTTGTTTTTTTTTTTTTCCCTAGTTCTGACACCCAACTAAGCCACTTGTTGGCCTATTCAACCTCAGGGGGCACTCTGGAGCGGGGGCTGGGGTTTGGGTGTCCAAGTCCCTTGCAGGGAAGGGAGGTACTGGCTTTTTGCAGATGGCCTTACTTCCTCGTGTCCCTGAGGAGGGCAGAGGGCCTGACTGGATTTTCCCAGGGCCTCACAAGGAGTGCAGTTGGGGGGGATGCTCAGGTTATGGTTACCCGGTGAATGGAACGTGACTCTCTGGGAGATTTGTCCCACTTGTCCAGAGCTTTCTCCTAGCTGGGGAGGAAGGGGGTAAGGGCATTTGGAGACAGCGTTCAGGAGTGTTCAGGGTGGAGGTGGCCTTCTCAAGCCACAGAACTCGAGCACCTAACCCACTCCCTGGAGGAGGTGGAGTGTCTACTAGGTGCTTCCAGATGGTCCCTCCACAGTGGACACTGGTGAGGGCTCTGGGATTGCAGTGCAGGTGGCGAAGGTGCCCCTTCGTCTCTGCCGTACTGAGGGTGTGGCCTGGCCCCAGGCAGCTTGTCCTCTGGGCGCCGACAGGCAGTCATGGAATCTCTCTGTTCTTGCTGACTCAGGGCCAGCATCCCAGAAGCTTCTAGAGTTTTGCGTCATTTGTCAGCCAGGAGCTGAGCTGGCCTTGGGGCTGGGTCCAGAGTGACAGGATCTGCAGGGGAACAAGCTCTGAGACCTGTTGCTCCTTGTTCCTTCCTCCTTGCCCAAGTGGGAAGTGTGTCCCTGGGATCCCAGACACCGACTCGGTCCTGTTGTCCTGAACCCAGTTTCATGTCCTTCCGGAGAACTTCCCAGCCAGTGACTATGAGGAGAGGTACGGGGAGACTCGCCTGTGTCCCCCTTCACGACCAGTTATAATTTCTTTTTTCATTTAGCCATACAGAAGCCTCCAGAGCATCACCCACACCGCTGGACCTCCTTTTAAATAAATTGCCTTATTTGGTGGCCATGAGGATATCTCAGGGGGTCCAGTACTGCTAGGGTGTTTCCAGTGAGCACAGAACCATCTGGTCCATCCAACAGGGCCTCCGTAGTGCTGGGGAAGCATCATTCAAAGCACAATTTATTAGTTTAAATAGAGCCACAGATACATGTGACGACCACCACAATACTTTTTAGAACATGTTCATCTGAAGTGTTCTTTTTGTCAAAACCTTCTTTGGTCAAGAACGTTTCTTTCGAGCTGGAGCGATAGCACAGCGGGTAGGACATTTGGTTTGCATGTGGCCAACCCAGGTTCGATTCCCAGCATCCCATATGATCCCCTGAGCACTGCCAGGAGTAATTCCTGAGTGCAGAGCCAGGGGTAACCCTTGTGCATCGCTAAGTGTGACCTTCCCAAAAAATAAAAACAAGAATATTTCTTTCTCAAAAAGAGCTTTAGTTGTCATCACCAGACATTTCCCTGACCCTGTTTGCCCCAGACCTAAACAGGTGCTAATACCTTCACTGTCTCTGCTGATTTCCCTACTAGAACTTTCTCAGGAAGGACCTCCTCTTTGACCTGCCTTACTGCTTCCATGTTCCTCCATGAACTGGGATCACTCCTTGCTGGGACAGAACAATGTCCAGTGTCCAGAGGCCACACTTGGGTTATTCCATGTGTCCACAGATGGACTCTGGGTTGTTTGGACCTTTGAGCCAGCGTGGATAGTGTTGTAAGGAGCTCTGCACCCAAGTTTCTGGGAGGCCAAGTGCTCTGTTCCTCGGGGTCTGATTCCGGGAACGGAATAGTTGGATCCTATGTCCAAGACTGAACACTTCGAGTTGCTGCCAGGCGATACCAGGTGACATCCCCACCTTTGGGCACCATGTCTGCTCTGCCCCCTGGGTCAGACGCCCTGCCTGGGCCACCTTCTGTGTGTGTCTCAATGTCCTGGCCCACAGGTGCTTGTTTGGCAAGAGGACACTGTGTGAGAGGGGAAGAGTGATGAGGAGGTGGCCCTCGAGTGGGCCTCTGCTCTGCCCACGGCTCAGGAGCCCCTCCTGGCCCCCGTCCAGGGGTGATCCTCGCGGGCTTTTCCTTGTGGCTCGCCAATCCTCAGCTCTCGTGATTCATGACTCCTGCATGTGTGCCTGAGCCCAAGGACCCTGCAGGGTTCAGGGGTGTCTTAGTCAGCTCTGTATGGGGCTTGGCTCCCTGAGGGGCTGTGCTGGCGGAGGAGCAGGGAGCCACCAGGGGGAGCGTGTGGGTCGCTGAGGCAACACAACAGGGCGTTTGGGGCTGGGGAGATGGCTCATCTGTTGAGAATTTGCCTCGAAAGGGCGAGGCCCTGGATTCCCTCCCTGGCCCCACAAAAAGCGCCCCAAACCACAAAAGCCCAAACCAGGGCAGTGGGACCCTCACAACAGAGACCTGCAGTTCCCCAATCTCAACTGCAATGCTGGGGGCTCCCTAAGAGGGAGTGGAGACTAGAGATGCCCCCCTCCACCCCCTCACCCCCAATGCCTGCTCTCCATCATTACCATATTGCCGAGTGAGCTGTCAGGTTTGGTGGGGTGGGGTGGGGTGGTGTAGGAGAACCCAGGGTTTGAGGGTGCTGAGTATGGACATGTTAGGGGCCCCGTGACTCATTCATGTGGTGAGGGGGCTCTGTGCAATAGTTTTTTGTTTTTTTTTTGACACACCTGTGGTGCTCACAGCTTACTCCTGGCTCTGTGCTCAGGGATCAATCCTGGTAGGACTTGTAGAACCATACGTAGTATCAGGGAGCAGCAAATCCGGGTCAGCTGTGTGCTAGGTTAAGTGTCCTACCTGCCGAACTATCACTCTGTCCTGATTTTTAATGTGGCAAGTGACTTGCAAACTATGCGGGTGCTTCGTGTGGGTTTTAAGTACGATTTGTATGAATCCACATTTATTTCACAGGCTGCTTGCCAATCCTTCAGATAGTTTCCCCACCTGTATCATAATCTTCCTTTTCCAGCTCCCAAAGGCTGCTCTGGGGTCCCCCCCTCAGCCACGCCATGCCCCGCAGAGTCGGTGAATAATCCTGATTCCTGGAACCTCTGAACAGTTAGTTTATTGGCAACAGACACGCCCAGGGAACCAGGACGAGCTGGCGCTGGGTGGGCGTGGCCTCTGTGACCAGCGCTAGGGGCGGGGCCTCGAGGATGCTGAAGCCGAAGCTGGGGCAACCTCACAACATCACTGTTGCCAGGAAAACACACTTCTACCAGATCCAACACGAGAGGAACTAAAGGGAGTGTGAGCCCGGAAGGATGATGATGGAAGGGAACTCTGGTTCCACTGAGCAAATTAAGTCGGCTGTCCCTTGGTCCAGCAAATAATCCACATCCTCTTGCCTTTGCTCCCAACGCCCAGGAAAGCCTGTATTTGCATAATGTGGGCACAAGCTAGGTAGGCAGGAAAATCTACTGCCCTGAAAGCACCTCTGGATTCTGTGCCAGAAGGACCAGGACAGAACCAGGCCATCTAGAGACACAGGCATTTACCTTGGACTCAGGAAGTTTGTTTTGTTGGGTATTTTTTGTACGTCTCGTCTCCTATGGACACTTGCAAGAGTGCATGTGGATGGGAAAAGAAGTCTATTTGTCTCAGGGGCATGAGAGCCAGAGGTAAGGGCTGGTTTTGGGGGGAGATCCCCCTGGGACATCCCCCAGCTGGAACTGAGAAGTGCTCACGTGGTCTTCTCTCCTAGAGAAGGAGCTGGGGGCTGCCGCCACTTTCTCGGGCACACCAGGGTGTGAATGTGAGTCCAGGGACATGGGCCTTGTATTCTCTTTCTCTGCCTGCCCCGGACCCCCTGCCCAGCTTGAGCTCTGCACACGGCCCAGGGAAAGGTGGCACTTGAAGGAAGAGCTGGACTTGAGGGGCAGCTTCCAGTGGAAGCCCAAGGGAACCTGAAGTACGTGCCGAAGGGGGTCTGGAGCGCCCTCGTCTTCAGGCTGGCGGCGGAGGCCCTGCCCCTGGGCTTCCTGTCGCCAGGGCTGGGCTAACACTTGTGGCAGGAAGCGTTGCCCCCCGCCCCCGGCTTCATGCTCGAGCTGCGCCCACTCCCACAGCTCATGAGCCCCTGTGGCTCCCAGGGAATGTAGAGCTCCCCAGTGCCCACCACGCTGCAGCCCCCGGTGCTCTTGAGGACGCTGGTGGTCCCCGGGCAGTACTCGGTCCTCAGCACGGGCGTGTTGACCATGCATGGTTCATACAACATGGCGCCTTTGGAGCTGCTCACGGCTGTGGGGACAGGAGAGACGCTCAGGGTCTGACGGCTGAGGGCCCGGCCCTTCCCTTGCTGCCACTCGCCGTGATGGACACCCCGCCTGTGTCTTCCACACACGCTGGAGAAGTACTTGGGCATCCCCTCCCCTGCCCCATGTCCCTACCTATCCCCATGGCCCTGGTGCTGCCACCCCCTTTCCCAGTCTCTGCCGGGCTCGTCCCTGAGTCAAATCATTCTTCTCTCAGGAGCACACACCTCTTTGTCAGGGGAGTCCTGAGTCGAGACCAGGCTGCCTGGTTGGGCCCTAATCTTCCTGATCAGTATTTGGAAAGGCCCCAGGGGGAGCCTCACCCTTGAGCAGAACCCACCCCCCCCCACCCAATCTGGGCTGGCGGAGGCCCATGGGAAATGGGCTGGTGGGACCGATCTGCATGACCCTGACCCTCCCCTGGCCCCAGAGCCCGCAGGAAATGCTCCTGTACTCACAGATGTTCACAGGTCCAATGCCTTCGCACAGCCTGGGGGCGAGAGAGAGGGAATAGGAAAAACAGGTCATTGCTTGGGGAGCATGCTAGCCAACGCTGCTGGCGCCTGTCCCGGTCATGCATGTGCCAGGCACGTGGTGGTGCCATGGTTCTCATGCTGGAAAGCCACTGCGGGGTGGGCGGTGGTGGCAGCGGCACAGAGGGCAGGAGACCCCACACATAGCCTGGCTGGACCCCTCCCGCTCACCTGTGCTCCTCGCCCTCCAGCAGGCGCCGGTAGGTGGCGATCTCGATGTCCAGGCCCAGTTTGGAGTTCATCACCTCCTGGTACTCCTTGAGCAGGCACGCCATGTCCTGCTTGGCCTTCTGCAGGGCCTCCTCCAGGCCGGCCAGCTTGCACTTGGCGTCGGAGAGGGCCGCCTCGCCCTGCTGCTCCGCCTCGGCCACGGCGGCCTCCAGTTTGCAGCGCTGGGAGAGGGCACAGAAAGGTGTTATGGGGGTCTCTGGGGGACTCAGAAGAGCAAAGAGCATGTGACCGTCATGAGCAAAGAGCAGACAGTGTGTCTGGTCCTTGGCCCAGCCCTCCTGGAGCCCCGCAGGTCTCTGCCCTTTCCTGCGCCATCGGAACTTGGCTCTTTGGACACACACAGGGCCCTTTGCCATTTTCTGGGGGGATCAAAATGCCCTGTGCTCCACTGGGGGATGCTCCCTGACGGGGCTGGCCCACAGGACGAGAATCCCATGAGGCTCAGAGGGGCTGGGACTAACTAGGCCAGCTGTGCCTTCATGACGGAAGTGCCACAGAAATCCCCAAAGCCGAGACTGGGGACACAGCTCAAAGTGCTTGTGCCTCCTTTGTGTGCAAGAAGCACTGAGACTTGGGGCCTGAGCGATGACACAGCAGGGAGGGCATTTGCCTTGCAGGTAGCTGACTTGAGTTTGACCCCTGGCACCCCCATATGGTTCCCTGAGCACCACTAGGAGTGATTCCCGAGCATGGACAGATGTAGCCCCCCAACACAAGACTAACAAACAAAAGAAGCACTGAGTCTGCCTAAGTCCCCAAGCACAGCGAACCCCCTGCCCCAGCACCAAGCTGGGAGAAACCCCCAGGCACCGCCTGGACCATGGCTTCTGCCTGGTGCTTCCCCAGACAGTGGATCCGCATGGGCCCGTCTCACCTGGGCCTTGACATTCTCAATATCCTGCTGCAGTCGCTGGATCAGTTTGTTCATTTCCAGGATCTCGTTCTTGCGGTTGCGGAGGTTGTCACAGTGGTTTCCGGCCGTCATCCTCAGCTCCTCGTACTGTCGACGGGATGGAGAGGTCAGAGCCCCAGAGGCCGATGTGACGATGTGATGCAGGTATGTTCTTATCCTCTGTATTTTGCCTCTCTCTGCTCCCAACCCTTCCCCTGGGTGGACTCTCCTTATACTAGCTCGCCTTTTGGCCTTGAGCCTTTCTGCTGTTAAATTCTCCTCCAAGCTTCCAGGCATCTCTCTTTTACATATTTATGTAGGGAGAAAAGGGTGCTGAAGGGCCTCCTCCCTTTTGTTCCATCACTCCTCCAGATGCTGGAAGGGGCTTCTGGGCTGGGCTGGGGCCACCTAAGAGACTAAGAACTCAGGAATGACCAGAATGACCAGGTCTGCCCATCAGGGTGAGAAAGTTCAGGTAGTACCCTTTCAAACAATCCAATGAAAAAGAGAAAAAAAAAAACAACCAAAGTTCCCATGGCTTAACTCTTTTTACAAAATCTCTGCATGCAGCATCTCTTGTTTGTGGTAGATTACTTGTTCTAGATCACACTTATAGATGAATCATAATGGGCAACTTCAAGCTTCCTGCCGACAGCAGATGGGAGCCGTTTACACTGTCAACTCAAGACAAGCAAGAAGCACCTCAGCTTGATTATGGGAAAGACTGTAATTGCCAATCAATGTTTTCATTCCTCTTCTCTAAATAGAACTCTGCCTTTGTCTGGAGTGGCAGTAAGCCCAGGGAAGCCTCCCAGTGAGATCCACGGGCAGGGGCCCGACTGGGGAGGGCTTCCGGGAAAGCCCTTTAAAGTGGGGTCTGACTCACTCAGTTGGCATGTTCCTCTCCGCCCCCTTCTTCTTGCTGTCTACAAGGAGGCAAGTGGCAGCCATCTTGGGACCCCAGGCAGCCAGTGGACTATCGCTGTGTGTTTAGGGTAGTGGAACAGAGGCCAGAAGGAGCCTTAATTCCTGACCACGATACAGGAAGTCCCCTCCCCACCCCTCCTGGGAAGCCTGTCCTGTGCTTCAAATGATTTTAGTAAACACTGAAGAGTCAACACTGAAAAGTAAATCCTGAAGTCGGAGGAAAAGGAGCCGGCTCAGAATGATCTCTCTCATATGGGGATACAAAGAAACTTTGTTAGGGGTATATTGAATGCCCAAAGGCAATGAACCAAACAGCAGAATCACTGGTTTTCCACAGGAAGCTTGCCACTGGGTCAGGGTGGAGGATAAGTTAGGGAAGAGAACACTAGTATGGTGGGGGAGACCACCAAGGAAATATATTTGCCACAGAGGCACTGGTGGAAGGTAGCAGGCACCTACCGTCAAGGGATTGGCGTCGAAACATTGTACCCCTGAAACTCAATCACAAATATCTTTGTAACTTTGTAACTCATGGTGATTCAATTAAGAAAAATAATTAAAAGAGACTGAATTTTCTTTAACCACCTATATGTCTCTTTCTTTCCTTTTTTTCCCTTTTTTTTTGTTGTTAGGTCACACCCAGCAATGCTCAGGGGTTATTCCTGGCTTTGCACTCAGGAATCAGATGGTGCTTGGGGAACTATATGGGGTGCAGGACATCAAATGCTGGTCGGCTGCATGCAAGGCAAATACCCTACCTGCTGTATTATCTTTCTGACCCAACTCTCTTTCTCTCGCTCTCTCTGAGCCTCACAGCTAAATGCCATACTACCATGATAGGGTTTTCTTTCATTTCCGATGGATGATGCTGTTATCCCAGAGGTCCCCTGACGGATGGGAGGAGACAGCTGGGGAAGCTGGTCATGGAAGGGTCATTATTCTTAGACCCCATCACTGAGCCTCACCAGAAGATGGGCAGCAGCTCACTGGGGTAGAGGAGTCCCCTGGACAGTGGTACCCATTGCCTCCAGCGACAAAGTCAAAGTGTCCAGCACAGCTCTATGGTCCCAGGCCCCTCCCAACTGTCTCAAAGTAGGCACCTCCTTTTCTGTTGCCTGCCGTCTTTTAGCCAAATACAACCCAACCCCTTCTGGTCACCCTTCGTCTTCAGGGTGCAGAGCCAAAGCCAGGCCTGCCTCTCCCTCCTGCTGCTCCCCGGAAGCCCACAGCCCCACTCAGTCCCCACTTTCTGCTGCCTTGGGTAGGTGGTCTCCCACGTTTCTCTTCCCCTGGATGGTGATCTCGTACAGGACAGGGATTGTGAAGGCGTCTTTCCCAGGCCACTTGGTTGAAAATTCTATTTCCAGGATGCTCCCTGAGCCTCCCTGCCGAACATTTCCTCCCCAGCAGCCACCTGGAACTTGCACCTGTGGTGCTGATTTGTCCTGTGTGTTGCCAAGTCCTTCCCTGCACCTGCCTCTGGCAGGAAGGCCCGCAGAGGTAGGGCTACTGGCTGTCCTGCTCCCTGGTGCAGCTCTAGCCTCTGCAGCTTTGCCCGGCGCTTGGCCGGTGCTCAGTACACAGTTGCTCAGGGAACGAGCGAAGGGATGAATGACCAGTGCCCATCACAGATGAGGCAGGTAAGACGGAGATGATAATATCCGTCCAATCGAGTTGCCCTTAAGGGCACCAACCACCCTCCCAGCAAGCCCCTAATTACCACAGTCTAGGCCACTTTAATCACCATTTTGGCTCCACCAGTAGGAACCACTCGGTGACATTCGCCTCCTCCCACGCCCGGATTTTTCCTTGCCCTCATCACCAATTAGTATTCCTTGAATGCCACTTAGATAAGCACTTCCAGTGAGTCTATGGGCGCATAAAGCTGGGGCACCCTGTAGCCTGAGGACAACCAGGCTTGTCCGTGGGCCCCCTCCCACCTCCTCTGCAGAGACGTGGCACAAACAACAGGCTCAGGGGTTTATGAGGTTCTCTGTTTCAGTGGCACAGCACGGCTGTCACGGCCTCCTCGGCCACTTCCTGGGGGAGAGTGGCCTGGGCCCCCCCACCCCGGGGCCTCACCCGGCACTGGTACCAGGCTTCTGCTTCCGCTTTGCTGCGGCTGGCGATTTCGTCATACTGGGCCTTGATCTCGGCTATGATGCCATCCACGTCCAGCTCCCGGCTGTTGTCCATCTTGACAATGACCGAGGTCTCTGAGATCTGAGACTGGAGCAGGCAGATCTCCTGGGGAGAGGACAGGAGGGGACAAGTGAGCCCTTCAAGGTAGCAGGGGAGGCGGGGAGGGGGGCTGGGCTTTGGCCTTCCCAGAGTAGGTCTGGCGGGACCTCACCATGGCTGTCCCAGGCCCTCATCACTCCCCTCACTACCACGGCCCTGGGTGACTGGGAGTCTCACGGCCTGACTTCCGGTCCACGTACCCTGAGATGGATGCTGTCACTGCCCAGGGGCCTCCCACCTCAGGGGCCCCGCAGGATACTGGTACCTCTTCATACAGGCCCTTCAAGAAGTCGATCTCCTGGACCAGAGCCTCCACGTTGGTCTCCAGGTCGGCCTTCATCAGGAAGGCCGTGTCCACGTCCTACAGCAGAGCGGTGAGAGAGCAAAACCTCGGGGCTGGTGGGGGGCATCACCCACCTGGCCAGGGACAGGCATGGAACCTGACTTTCCTCACTTAGGTCCTTGTGGGAGTAAAGGGGTTGGGAAAGCCAGGAGCGAGGGAAGGAGGGAGGGCCCCAAGTGCAGGCCTCGCAGCCTGATGAGGGGGCATCTGAGGGGACGGGGTGTGGGAAGGAGCTGGGTGGACTCCCAAAGGGCCCCCTCTGGGGCCTTCGGGCCAGGGACACACTTGCCATCTAACCATTGCCATCTGCTGAGCAACTATTTTCAGGGGCTGGGGCTTGAATCTGTAGCTTTTGAGCTGGTGTTGGTCACTGCTCTGGCTCTGGTGCCCGTGTAAGCACAACCATGAACCAACTTTGCTCCAAAGTGGAGGCCAGGCCACTGCCCCATGCGCAGGGGCCAGACTCCTGCCTGGGGCCCACAGGGGGACTGACGGCGAGGCTTCCCTGTGGGTGGGCGTTCGGCAGGCACCTTGGACACTGTGCAGGGGCGGAGTGTCCCGAGGCTCGCTGGCCCCCTCAGGGCCCGTTCCCCTCCCCTGCCACCCTTGCTCACCTTCTTTAGTGCCACAAACTCATTCTCAGCGGAGGGCCGCAGGGAGAGCTCCTCTTCGTATCTGGTGGGGAGGGCAGAGAAATCTTTGTGTTAGGCCTGTGGGATCGGGAAGGGACTTTGGTGTCAGGTCAGAGTCAAGGACCTGCCCCAAGTGAACGTCCTCAGGAATCACCGAGTCAGCCTGGCGTGGGCTCTTCCATCTGCCTCCACGGAGCCCAGAGACATCTAGGGATTGTAGGAAGTGTTCCAGGCAATGCGGAGTCACGTTCAGCGAACTAAGTCAGAAGCGGAGTGACAAATGCCAGAAGACTGCTCTCTCACATATGGTGTATAAGAAGACAATGCAAGGGAGTGAATAATGTCTAATAAAAGCAAACCCTTAAATTCTGATAACAGAACCAAGGGAACGGAGATCTGGTAAAAGAGTGGAGAGGTGAAAGGTGGAATTTAGTCACAGTGGTGACCATGGGGATCCCAGCTGCCTGAGCCCCTCCACACCAAGGGCTCTGGTACTTTGGGGCTGGGCATCAGGCAGTGACTTTCTATGCCTGAAGCGTGCATATGAACATATGTAAATCATGTCACTTCAATAAAAATAAAAAGTCAAACAAGAAAATTTTAAAAAGGAAGAGACTCAGGGTCTCATAGAAGTCTCACCGCATCCCTTGTCCCCCTTAGCTGCTCCTGGGAGGGAGCCCCCACAGTCCTGCTGAAGCTGCTGTCAGGATGCCCATATATTCTAGTAGTTTCCCCTGGGAGGATGGAGGAAAATGGTTGCCTGCTGCATACCACTGTCTTCGGGCAGAACACTGAGTTGGCTGCACCATGGGGATCCCAGCTGCCCGAACCCCTCCACACCAAGGGCTCTGTACCTGGCCCCGGTGCGGGGTGCAGAGGTAGCAATTACGCCTCGTCCGACCCATAAAGGCAGCCCAGTTTCCTCGAGGCTCTGGGAGCTCCTCTCCCATCGCTGCTCCCCAAGGCGGCAGCATGGGGGTCCGGGGGTTGAGTCTGGTGAAGTGACTCAGCGTGATGAGCAACAAGGCGTCATTGGAAATGACACTAAGCTTCCCTATGCTCAGCCTTCCTTCTCGCAAGGAAGGGCACTGGGCGCCTGAGCCTGGCCTTTTATTTTATTTTATTTTATTTATTTATTTATAGAGCTGCTTGGGCAACCATCAATGGTCTCACAGGCTGGCCATTTATTCACTACACCTCTGGGTTCCCAACTGGTGAGCTACCCTTGACAGAGACATAAAAAACCGACAGAGCCCTCTTGGCAGGAACATTAGGGAGCATCTCCACATTCAGAGGGCATGTCAAGAGCAAAGGCTGGGGTCCGTAGCTACTAGCGGGAGCCCTTAAAGTATGAAGTCCTGTAAAGTTTCCTATACTACTTTGGGGGGAGGGGGGAGGCTGGGTTTGAATCTTGGCTCTGCCTCAGGTTAGATCTGTAACTCGGTCTCTCTGCCTCAGCTTTGTTCTCTGTCCAGTGAGGAGAAGCTGGTCCTGCCATGCAGGGCAACTGTGAGTTAACATAGCACGGGAGTGAGTCTCTGAAAAGCACAGGTCATGGGTGCGTGCTGAACAGGCTCATGTCCCAGCACCCCTTGATCTCATCCTTCTCCTCTGGCTTCACTTTCAAATCCCACTTCATCATCATGAAAGCAAAGCACGTCTCCTGCCCACGTTGTATCTCAGGCCCATGGAAGGTGCTGCTCCTGCTATGTGCTGCCTTTCACCTGACACTTTCTGCTTGAGTGGTTCCTTCTCGCTGAATTTTCCTTGTCACCTGTTCCCACTCTGTCCCCTTTTCCCGGGTCTACACTGTGAGAAGCAACTTTGCTAAGAGTTCATCGTTCCGGGCCCCGAGAAAACATCACCTCCTTCAGGAAGGCTTCCCGGGTTCCTTCTATTCTCTCACTCTTTCTTCCCTGTAACACATTATATTACTGGTATGGGGCATTTTGGAGAAAGGTGCGAAGCTTCTCCATCTCTCTGTAATGCCCACACTCTCCAGCACATCATCTGACCCCTGGTTGGCCCCACGGCATGGATGCCTGGTCTGAGGCGCTATCCGTGGACCCTCTCCTTTGGACCTCCTTCTTGCTCTTCACATCTCTACACTGTTCCTTGTCCATAAAAACGAGTCTCTCTCCACGCCCCGCCCCACTCCCCAACACATGGTCTCCTGGGACCCTGAGCCCAGGCAGACCGGGAATTCCCTGAGATCTGGCCTCCTGCAAACACAGGACCCACAAGTCTGCTAGTTCATCTTCAACGTAATCATCACCCCCCTCCTCCTGCTGTGACTCAGGTACAGGGTGGCACAGGGTGGGCATGTCAGGCTGGCAGCAGAGCCCTGACCACAAAGAACTGGGACTGGGACAAGGGGGATAGTGAGAGCAGGGACAGGAGGGCAGCTGACGTCCAGACCGGGGTGTGGGAGAGAATGGGGCGCTATTAGCCAGGGTGCAGGTTGAAGCTGATGAAAGAGCGGCAGGAGCAAAGGCTCAGAGGGGGGAGGCCCGGGGACTCAGAAGTGGCTCAGGCACAGGTCGGGGATGGATGGAGGAAGGGGCAGGACCAGAGCCTGGAGCTGAGCCCCGGAGTCCCAGAGCCCAGTGGATGGCAGGAGGAAGAACCTTCTCGCTGGGAGGGAGGATGCAGGAGGCACCATGTGGGGGTGGGTGGGAAAAGGAGACCAGCACTCAGGGTCAGCGCTTCGGGGACAGACTCCAACATGCCCCGCCTACGCCCTCCTGCCTAATTGACCTGCTGCCTGATGAGCTAATTTTGGGTTCCCCATTTTTATAGCCAAGCACACAGAAGCCCAGATGGCTTGCGGCTCCGGGGCGAGAGCGGAGCGGACTCACTTCTTCTTGTAGCCCTCCAGCGCATTCTGCAGGCTGCAGAGCTCGGCCTCCAGCTTGGTGCGGTCCCCGGCCACGCACTCCAGCTGCCGGCGCAGCGCACAGATGTACGTCTCAAAGAGGGGCTCCATGTTGCTCTGGCAGCACCTCTGCTGCTGCATGAAGTTCCACTTGGTCTCCAGCAGCTTGTTCTTCTGCTCCAGGAACCGGACCTGCGGTCGAGAACAGGGGGACGTGGCTTGGGAAAAGTTGGTGGGTGTGGGAGAAGCAGATCAGAAGGTTTTCTCTTAACACCTGCTGCAGATGTGCTAAGCCTTGCAAAGATCGGGACTCTGTGTGGACTGGCTTCCGGGAATGTGTCTCTGTATTTCCTCTGTCCGTGCCCCAACCTTTCACTTGGGGGGGGGTGTGTTATACTGGAAGGTGTTGCTCCAAGATGCCCGGGCAAGGGCCACTGCCAGGCTGGCCTCTCTGGGCCTCACTGGCCTTGTAACCTTAGCCAGGCCATCCCAAACATCGGGGTTCCCCCCACGTGAGATTCTAAAGTCCCTGCTTGAGCTGATGCCTGGGAAGCACTTTGGAAATCCCAGACTGACGTGAACCCTTGTGCTGGAAATTGGGTTTTGTTCAGTGCCAGTTCAGGGGATCTCAGGGTGGAAGGGGAGACGCAGGCCTGTGTCCGAGCACGCTGAGCTCTTCCCACTTGTTCTGCTGAATCTCAAACAGCCACATCCAGGAAAAGTCTCTATGCCATGTGGAGAGCATCCCAGGCAACCACCTTCATCTTCGCGGTTTGGTTTGAAACCAAGAGTAGGAGAAGCTGAGAGAGTTGGTGGCGGCCACCCAGCTATGGCCCAAGGCCTTGTCAGGGATTAGGGGGGTGGTCCGTATTTGTCCTCATGCTCAAGAAAGCTGTTGAGTGAATAATTGTACCCCACCTCTGGTGAACGGCCACATGGCCAGAGGTCCCCAGACTCCCAGATGTGGTGTGGCCCAGCTCATGATCCAAACTATGAGGTTGGTCTGGGTGGGTGACCAGAATTTAATGAAAGTAAAACATGAGGCGGCCCCAGGTTCATTCTGGCACCAGTCACAGTAGCCCAGACACAGCTCGTGTCCAAGAAGGAATGACTGGATAAAAACAGCTGTGGTACACAAACATGATGGGAGGCCGCTCGGCTTTGAAAAGAGGTGAAATCCTATAATTTGTAGCTGCTTGCATAGATCTGGAGCATATGAGGCTGATTGAAGTTAGCCAGAAGGAGAGGCACAGACATCGAATGATCTCTTTCATGTGAGGGATATAAAGAAAGACAATAATGGAATACAGGTACACAAAAGAAATAGAAATGAAGAACTGGTTCCCAGTAGGAAGCTTACTGTAAGGGAGAGTGGTGGGGGCCCAACGAGGAACATGGGGATGATGGTGGAGGGAGGGTTTGGTACTGGAATTAAAAAAAATCATGCTCAAGAAAGCTGAATTAAAAAAAATCATTACTTTGTTTTTTGGCCATACCCAGAAGTGTTCAGGATTTACTCCTGGATCTGCATTCAGGGATCCCACTTGGCAGGTTGGGGTGCTGGGGGTTGAACCTGGGTCAATCTATCTCTCTGACCCCAGTGCTAGAATTTTTATGTATGAAACCATGCCAACAACAGTTTTGTAAACCACACCGATCAAAATAAAATGTGAAAAGGGAAATTCAAGGGTCAGAGTAATAGCGTAGCAGGTAGAGTAGTTGCCTTTCATGCAGCTGATCCCAGTTCCATCCCCTGCACCACATATGGGTCCTTGAAATGGCTGGAGTGATCCCTGAGCACAGAGCCAGGAGAACCCTGAGCATCCCCATGTATGACCCAAAAGTAAAAAAAAAATGCGATGAATAACCGAATAAAGAAAAATGAGGCAGAAAGGGGTTGATCGCTATGTGCTGACACAGTGCCTCTGGACTCCCGTGCATGTACTACATTACTGCTCTAGCCTCTGCTTCCTTCCCCTATGGGCAGCGGACCACCCGAGGCTGGCCACTGCTGCGTGGCACAGGGCCTTGGGGTAAGGTGAGGGGATCCAAGAACAGGACCCAGAATCTCCTGATTTTTGGTCAGGACTCTGCCCTCAGCCTCAGAGTCCCAGTCCTGATCCTTCTAAGAACTTCCCTGAGGTCTGGGGACAGACCAGATCCCTGTCTGCTGAGGGGGCAGGCCTGTTCCCTGTGTCAAAGCACAGGCCACTCTCCTGGAGCCCTTCGGAGTGGTGGCTCGGACAGACTTTGGCTGCGCCACCCCACATGTCTAGCTGTAACTGCTCTGAAGAGGCCTGAGCTGACAGGAAGTTCTAGGTCACAGCCCATCCCTGCCTCCAGATCTGGGGTCTCATCCAGACTCCCAGGAGGTAGCTCTGTTGTTTACGCTCTATCAAGACGCGTGATGCTCTGCAAAGCTGGTGGATCCTTTCAGGATCTCTTGCTGCTTTGGAATTTCCTCTAACATCAGGCCCCGGGGTGATCAGAACATCTCCAGAGGGAGGTGATAGTTTCGAAAAGGACCAGCCAGCAAAAGCGTTGACCTGTTTGGAGTTCCGTGCTCCAGTAACTGGCGGTGGTGGTCAGGTATGGGAGAAGCCCCGACTGGAGTGTGGATGGGTTCAGCATGGCCTCCCCGTGATCTGTCCCTTCCGGACAAGCCCCAACGCCTCACTCTGCTCTGGCTCCTGGTCTCCTCCTTACCTTATTGATGAAGGACACGAAACGGTTGTTGAGACTCTTGATCTGCTCCTTCTCATCTCTCTTCACCCTCTGCACGGTGGGGTCAATCTCCAAGTCGAGAGGCACCAGCAGGCTCTCATTGATGGTGACGGGGGTGATGCAGGGGGAAGGCCCGCAGGCGGCGCCCACCCGGTACCCGAAGCCAGGCAGGCCACAGCGGGAGGCCACGCGAGGTCTCCCATAGCCCACATTGCACAGGCTCCGGGAGCCCAGGCAGCCCAGGGCACGGAGCCCTCCGCCACCGCCTGCCCGGCAGGAGCTTTTGCTCACTGCCGTGTAGGTGACCGTCCGGGGGAGCACTGCCGAGCAGGAGCTGAAGCTCCGACCGCCACACCGGGGGCCCTGCTGGAACGAGTGGCTTGACATGGCCGGAGAGGGACGCAACGGGACGGGGCCTTGGCCGGGAAAAGGTGGGGCTGGAAGTCAGTGGCCAGCTCGGCCTCCGCCCTTTTATCTGGTGGGGGGTGGGGGGCGGAGCTGGGTCAAACCCCAAATCACCATTAAATCAGTTTTATGAGCTTGGGATATTGGCAGCTGCTCAGTCCCAAGGCAGATAATTAGGGTAGCAAAGAGCAGTGAGAAGGAGCCAATGGTCAGTGGGGCAGGCCCGTAAAGACCCATTTGTCCTCCTTCCGTGTTTGCGGGGGTGACGAGAGAAGACGCGAGTCTGGGTGCTCAGGGAGGCACAGCCTTGAGGAAAGTGAGAGTCGGCCCCAAGAGGCAGAGCAGAGGGGCTGGATTACGGGGCTAGATTAGCGCCTGGGGCCCCTCTACTTCCCCACCTTTTTCTGCAGAGGCGCCAGCCCCAGGAGCTCTCGGCAGGCTCTGAGGGGGCCCAGCAGTGCTCAGGAAGGAGCGTCGTGGGGGTGGAGGTGTCATCCCTCAGGCCAGGCCAGAGCCTGTTCGGCTATGCCCCGTTCTCCAGGACTCCAGACCTCGTTTGCGGCACCTGCTCAGAGCACGGAGGCTGCAGCAGGTGCGCTGTGTAACCAGAGGGGAGATAACGGGGGTGGGGGAGATCTTTGGAGCCCCCACTTGTGTGTCCATGTCCAGCATTGGGTCTGCATGTCTGCCTGGCTGCTCAGTTCTCTTTCCCCTACCCCAAGCCTGCTCTGGTCTGACGAGAGCTAGGAGGTAGTTGTTGAACTCCGGAATTATGCAGGTGCATGCTGGTATCAGCTTCTCCCCTGCTCACAGGTCACTGTCCTTTGGGGATGCTTAAATGTCCCCTGCCCCGCCCCTCCTTATCTTCCTTCCCATGAGTGCGGCCTTTGTGAGGCCCAGGGGTCCACCCCTTCCAGTTTCCGGGGCCCATACTCAAGTCCACAACAATGGCAACAGTCACCTTTTGGGACCTCACACCTCATCCTTGGACACCCCCGTCCCCCAAGATCTTGACATGGGCATTTGCTTTAATTCTAGTGACTGAGCAGTTCTTCAGACTTGAAAGGAGAGACAACTGAGGATCTTGAAGAAGCTCTGAGCCACGAGTCCTGTCTGTGGCTGGTGGCATCAGCTGTGTGACCGTCCCTGGGGGGATGGCAGGTCAGGAATCCAGGGCTGCCCCAATGCACAGAGGCCTTCCCTTTTTCCCCCACCTTTCCTGGGAGAAGACTCCAGGCATCATCGTTTCTTGCACTCGGAGTTCTCAGTCTAATGGGGGAGATGTCCCCCTATCCTTTCCTCTGTTCCTGGAGCCCTGCAGTTCCGGAGAGGAAAGGGTGGGACTTGGGAGGTGAGAGTTGAAACTTTGGGCCATGGTGGGAGGCAGAGGTGGGTGGGGTCCAGTTTTGGATACCAGGAGAATTGTCATTCTACCATGAGCTGGGCCCAGGAGGTGGGAAGCCAGTGCAAATCCTGCCAGGTGGTCAGGGGAACTGCAGGTGACCCGGGGATCACATCTGTGCCGGAGGGTGGCGTCAGGGACCCTGCTGGGCTTCTTGGAGTGGAACCCACCCCCAGGATCAGAGCAGGGGAGGGGTATGCTTGGATTCATCTCTCCTCCCGAGAACACCAGCCTCACAGCTGTGAGACAGGACACAGGCTCAGTCCAGACCATGAGTGCTGGGTGACATTTTATTGAAGCCGTTTCAGGAACAGACAGCCGGGACTAAGTGGCCAGGGCAGGCGCAGAGGCACTTGTTAGCTCTAGTCCACCCCCTCAGCTCTCCCAGTTTTGCCCAGGGCAAGGCAGTAGGTGCATTTCCTTGGGGTCCACCTAGGGTGGGGGACAGGAAAACCCACACCTCAAGCCTTGCTGACATGGGGAGAGAGACAGGGAAAGTTAGGAGAAAATATGGAATGTAAACTAGCTGAGCAGGAAGAATTGGGGTGGGGGGGGCTAGGTGGCAGGGGTCAGGCTTCGGGAGCAGGTGGGTTGAGAGGAGAGACAGCTGAAGTGGAGGAGGGTGAGAAGAGAAGGAATAAGCAAAGAAAAAGGTGGGAAGGGAAGTTTCCAGAAGAGTGTCCTGGAGACCTGGGGGAAGAGCCAGTATGTGTCCAGACATTGACTTTGGATGGGTGCTCCCACCTCTGTTCCTGCTTTGGGGGTCCTGCCCCTCCTCCCCAATCATCACATGAACCTTTCTGCCCAGGGACTGCTGTTCTAGCCTTGCCTTCAGTGAGGCAGATGGGCAAGATGAGCTCCACATTAACATTTTTTTTGAGCTTTCAGTGGCCCACGACACTAACATTTTATGTGTTCCCAGGCCATAAAAAACTTCGGGGTTCATGACAAAATCCTTCCATTCCAGAATGACTTAATCAAGGGTTGGTTGGCTTTTTGTTTCTTTTTGAGTCACACCCGGCGATGCACAGGGGTTACTCCTGGCTAATGCACGCAGGAATTGTGTGCATATGGTTCAGGGGACCATATGGGATGCTTGGAATCGAACCCGGGTCGGCTGTGTACAAAGCAAATGCCCTCCCCGCCGTGCAATCGCTCCAGCCCAGGTTGGCTATTCTCAAGAAGACGGATTTCTCATTCACGCATCCTATTGAGGAGCAGGTGTAGGGGGCGGGGAGCCTGGAGTAAGAATGAGGGGGTAGGAGGCAAGGTGTGGGCAAGGCTGGCCACCTTTCTCAGGGAACAGGGACCTATGTGGGGTCTTCAGTTGCCCCTGTGCGGGGGAGAAAGGACAGGACTTCAGTCGCCCCTGTGTGGGGGAGAAAGGACAGGACTGGGATCCCTGCACTGCCCTGCTCAGCCTCCCTGAAACACCATGCTCCCTTCTAAGCCCCGCGGAAGGCCTGGAGTCACACAGAGAGATCTGGGTCCCAAAGGAGGCACAACATGCCCAGAGGGTCCCAGCTCTACCCAGCCGGGTCTAGGCCAGAGCAGCGAGGTTAGCGTCAGCAGCCTTGGCAGGACCCTGGCTGAACTCTGGGGTTCGCAGTGGGTGGGGTGCCTCCTTGGGGCCCTGTGTGGAGCAAGAGGGACGCGCCAGACCACCTGCCCCGGGGCCCTCTGCAGCGGGATTCGTGCATGCGGGTGTCGGTCAGGCAAAGAAAGCGGCAGGTCTGAGGAACTGGGGGTGTCCCCAATGGGCTGGGAGCAGCCGGCCCAGGGGGGGGGGTTGGGGGGAAAGCGCGGTGCGGGGTGTTCTTTAGCTCCGGTAACTCTTCTTGGTGGACGACGTCTTGGTCACGACGCGCACGCTGGAGCTGCTGCCCATGCTGCGGCTGCTGTTGGCGCTGAAGCCGCCGCCCCCGCACAGGCCACCGCCGAAGCCGCTGCTGAAGCCGCCGCCGAAGCTGCCGCCTCCCGCACAGAGGCCGCCGCCCGCGCTGTAGCCGCTGCCGCCGCCGCAGGAGGAGGAGACCACGGCTGCGGGAGACACGGGAGAGCACGCTGCGGGGCCCGGGGAGACGCACAGCACAGCGCTCCGGGGTCCCGGGGAGACACAGCACAGTGCGCCACGGGGTCCCAGGGAGACGCACAGCACAGCGCGCTGCGGGGTTCCTGCCAGTTGGAGTGCGGTGAGAATCTCTCCACTCCCGGGAGCCAGGGGCAGGCGACGCTCCCCCTGCGCCTCCCTCCTGACCAGGACACTTTGCCCAGGCTGGGGAAGCAGGACCTCCGTGGGCCCGAGGGACTTACTAGTCCACTTCCCCCACCTTCTGAAGGAATGAATGGAGCCCCCCCCCCCCCCCCAGGTCACACCTGACAGAAAGGAATCCTCCACTCTGTACTCCTTCCTGCCCTGCCAGCCCAGAATGGCGTGGGAAGCATCTAAAGAAACTACTTGGTTAGGGTTGAAAGTCCCCTCCATCCTTTGAGAAGTGGAGACGGAGACCCACCCACACAGGCCTCCTCCTCCCCTCCAGTCCCCAGAGGAAGCTGCTGCCACTGTGCGGTGGGTTTCAAGTTGCTCCTCAGATTCCCTCCCTGTCCCCCCCCCCCCCCCCAGGAGCTCTCACTGCTCATGTGGGACTCAGGGTTCCTGGGTGCCACCTAGCTCCCATCTCCCCAAATTCTGAGACCCCCTCCCCACTAGCTCTGATGGTTCCTCCCAGAATGGTTCCTGGAAGCCGAGGCCCTGAAAGGGTACCAGTCTAGCCTGGCGGTCAGTGCACGTCCAGCCTAAGGTCCTTCCTCAGTCCAGGTTCCTAAAAGAGCTGAGTGAGCAGTCGGAGGTGCAGAAAGATACCGACTTCTCCAGGGCCCTCTCCCTGGGTCCATCACTGCAGGGAAGGTGGGGCCCCACAGTCTCTCCTGACTGTGCAGGTCTCTGCAGGACCCCTCAGAGGATCTCAATGACACCCTGGCCCCAGCGAGCTCGTTGGTTTGCTCATTAGTGAGGCGTTAGCATCCACTTGTCTCCCACTTCCCCATCTCCCCAAGACATTTACTCACAGATGTTCACAGGCCCGACACCTTCTCCAGTGAGTCTGTGGCAGTGGGGGGAGAGAAAGAGATATTTGGTTTGCTGAGGACTGAAGGGTCCTGGTCTTTGTATTCAAACATCAGCCCACTCACGGGTCCACCAGCACATTCACAGATGCCAGCAGCACACCTGCCATCACGCCCATGGGTGCCACTAGCATGTTCACAGGGTACCACCAGCACATCCGCATGGTGTCACCAGCACACCCATGGGTGCCACCAGCATGCCCACTGGTCCACTAGCATGCTCATGGGTGCCACCAGCAACTTTGTTCATCTTATTTGCTTTGGGGGTAATGTGAGGTGGTGCAGGCATGGCTGGAAGGAGGCAGGACAAAATAGAGAGAAGTGGGGAGCAGGGGAGAGAGGGGGTCGTGCTAGCCAGGAAGAGAGGGACAGTCAGATTGAAGAGCCCCGAGGCTTATCCGTAGGATGGCCTCATTGTCACAGGATCAGCAATGACTCTCCAGTAAGCTTTGTCCACTTTCCCTGACACCTTTGGCCACTGCCCCCCTGCTCTGCACCCAACAGAAGCTGTGGATGGGACTCTTACCACACGTGTCCATCTTACCACACGTGTTTTTCTGCCCTGGAATTTTGGGGGGAGAGGGGTCCCCCAATGGTGTTCAGGGAGCCTGATGCCACCTGCTGGTATTCTGCCAACTGTGGGGGCGAAGGGTGTTAAATGTGCTGTTGCTTGGGTCCTGTCATGACAGGGACTGGGTATGGGTGCTAGGGATTGTATGTGGGTCGGGCATATGCCCTGACCACTGTACTGTCTACTGCCCACCTGCCTGGGAATTCTCTCTGGGCCTGGCATGGTGGGGCTCTTATTCTCTGGCTCTACCAGTGTCCCTGTGTGTCGCGGAGGGGGACGGCTGCCCACCTGCACTCCTCGCCCTCCAGCAGCTTGCGGTAGGTGGCGATCTCCATGTCCAGGGCCAGCTTGACGTTCATGAGCTCCTGGTACTCGCGCAGCTGGCGTGCCATGTCCTGCTTGGCCTTCTGCAGGGCCTCCTCCAGCTCGGCCAGCTTGTTCCTGGCGTCCTTGAGGGCCAGCTCCCCACGCTGCTCGGCGTCAGCGATGGCACTCTGGAGAGTGGAACACTGCGGGGGGACATGGGGATCTGTGATACCGTCCACAGAGAATGCAGTAACACGTGGGCGTTAGGGCAGGAATATGCAAGCTTTTCCCAAAATGGATTGCATGTGAGAGGCCGGAGATTCCGGCAACTTTAACAACCAGATGATTCTCCATTTCCCTTCGATGTTTTGAGACTTATTCAGGTTGGAGAACTTGACTTGGGCCGTGGGGAGAGGGGGACTTCCCTGGCTAGGAGGTGAGCAAAGCAGGTCAAGCTTTTGCTGCAGTCACCTCCCCAGAACAGAACTTTGCTGGTGGAATAAATATTGGCCCAAACCTTAGAAGAAGGTCCTGGCCTCTGGGTCCTGCTTTCAAGCTACTAGAGGAGTGTCCATCCTCACACTGAGAGATGGCCTGAGGCCTTCCTGCCTTGCCATTCCCCCCAGGTCCTGCTGGTGCTCTCTAGGGAGTGCTCAGGTTGGGGGGTTCAGTCTCAAACTGTACTCGGATCCCTTTGAGCCCATCAGGCTGCGTTGTCCACAGACAAGCATCTCAAGGAATCGGCTGCATGTCTATGTTCCTGGATGTCCCTCTTCTCGCCAGGGTGCCCATGTGTGGGCTGATCAGGGCGGCCCCAGGCCTGCGTGGGGGAAGGATTCCGGGAGCTGGGCTTCACCTGTTTCTTCAGGTTGTCGATCTCAGAGCGCAGCCGCTGCATCATACGGTTCAGCTCAGAAATCTCCATCTTCGTGGTGCGGAGGTCGTCCCCATGCTGGCCGGCTGACCGCTGCAGCTCCTCGTACTGGGGAAGGAGACACAGGAGACAGGGTGGGGCGGGGTGGGCAGGGAAGAGCAGACAGTCACCTGGCTGGGCCTGGAATAGCTTCCCTGGCCCCCACCCACCTTTCTCCCCTGAATCCAGCCATGTTGCCTCTTGGCAAAGCCTAGCACCCTCCGCCCACTCTTTCTTCTTGGGTCTGGGCTTTCTTTTCTCTTCCTTGACTTCCTCCCAAACTCACACTCTCACCCTTACAAACTCAGCATCTGCTGCCATCCCCAACATTCTAATTTTTCAGTTCCTTAGAGTTCGCTCTTCTTGGTTCCACACCCTATATCCTTAATGACTCTTAGAGTGATTACTCCAACCTGTACAATCTCATGCTGTGGCCCATGTTTGATCCACTACAATCTCGCACCCTTAGTCAATTTACTTCTTTCATTTGAATCCAGGAGGTTAGATCTGCTTTGGGCCCTTTCTCTCCCGCTGGTCCCGGAGTCCAGAACTGTACTTTCAGACCTTCTTTCAGGCCACTAGAGGAGTGTCCATCCTCACCCTGAGAGATGACCTGACCTCCTCCTGTCTTGCATTTACCCAGGTTCTGCTGGTGCTCTCTAGGGAGTGCTTAGGTTGAAAGGTCAGTCTCAAACTGTACTCCGATCCCTTTGAGCCCATCAGACTGTGTTATCCACAGACAAGACTCTCAAGGAATTGACCTTAGCAATCCCAGCTTGCTCAGACAGTTTCATGAATTGACCCTGAGCTCTCACCTTGGTCTGGTACCAGGACTCAGCCTCGGCCCGGCTGCGGTTGGCGATGTCCTCATACTGGGCCTTCACCTCAGAGATGATACTATCCAGGTCCAGCTTGCGATTGTTGTCCATGGACAGGACCACGGAGGTTTCTGAGATCTGGGCCTGCAGCTGAGCCAGCTCCTGTGATGGGTGCAAAAAGGGAGAACTAGAGCAGTGTGTATGTGTGTGTGTGTGTGTGTGTGTGTGTGTGTGTGTGTGTGTGTACTACATGTGTATTTACGTGTATGTGCACACCATCATGTCACCACCTGTGACCAGGTCCTCAGGACCCACACGTGGGGTGGAGCATCCTCCTTAAGTCTGAGAGGGCTGGGAAGGCCATTAGGGAGGTCTCTGAGTTGACCTCCATCCTTTATCATGTGCTCATCTGCAGGAAAGGAGCAGCTGAAAGGGGGCTCGGCTAGGCTTTTCAGAAGGCACCCCACTGTCAAGGTGGCCTCGTGTCTTCTACTAGAAGCAGAGTACCATGTTCCGAGAAAATGTAGTATTTCACACCAAATAAAGAAATCATCTTGTAAAGAAAACGGAGGCAGAAGGAGACAGCACATTCTGCTGTGTCCCATGGTGACTTCACCCTGCAACTTAGGACAGGGTGGAGAGACTCTAGTTGGAAAACAGAAATTACCCCATACTGTAGAAAGGGCCCCGGACCACTTCTGGAATCTGTGAGAAGGTTTGACATCTATCTTAGTGGGTGTTCTAGTGCCTTCTCTGTGAGATTAGTTTTCACATGTGCACATACAATGAGCTGTGAGATAGTGAGTTTGCAATTCATCTATTAGTGATCACTCTTCAGAATTTTCTAGAACCTGCCTTCTTAAACTGTAGGTCAAGACTCACTATAGAATCTGAATAGATGAGGGGGTGGGAAAGTTTGTGAACAATTTGGCAACAGTGAAAGGTTTCTGAGAGTGCAATGACCAAAAATCAGACCAAAAATGAATTCTAAATCAACCCTGTAGTAATTCTGAGGGTTTTGTGGCAGTGCTGTTCCTGTGGGGTCATCTCAGGCAAAAGGAAAAGTTTCAGAAGCCTTAAACGAGAACTCATGTCCTCAAAAAATGACCCAGTCTAGCAGCATTGGCAGGTTGGAAATGTAACCTTTAGGGTGTTACCTTAGACATTGAACCATAATTGGCTTCTAAAATATTCTGAGGATCTGTAAAATTCAAGAGTCACTGAGCCAAAGCACAAATCTAAGTCGGATTTCTTGCCTTTATGAACCATTGCTTTACCCATTTCCATTGCAAGTGGCAGTGCTGCTGAATTAGTTTTTCCCAGTAGCTTATTTTGCAGGAGGGTCTCTGCCCTGGGGATGGGTAGGCTAGTGGCTAGTTCAGAATTAGGAGCCATCGCCTCAGCAGGTGTTAGTCCTGGAGTAAGTAGATAAGCAGGGAAAATGGGACCTTCCCAGACCAGAGAGATGGTACAGGAAGTAGGGAACTTGCCTTGCATGTGGCTGACCTGGGTTTGATCCCCGACACCACATACAATCCCCAGAACCCACCAGCAGAGATCCCTGAGCACAGAGTAAGGAGTAAGCCCTGAGTACTGCCAGATATGACCTCCAAACAAAAACAGAACAAGAAAATGAGGCATCTTTGTCCCTTGTGGGAGTTGGGATGGTCAAACCATCCTTCTGAAGACCCAGAACCCAGCTCCGATTCTTGACAGAATTCCATCGGGTACGAAATAGATCCAGTAAGATTATCATCTTCGTAGGCGGCCTGGCAGAACATGTGTGCCTGAACATAGCTGGTGCCCTCTAATGAAAGCTCTGTCTCTCTACTTGGCTCCAGTTCCCTGGACCTCCTTGGGCTCGAACCCTTAACAGGGGCATTTCTGCTTCCCAATCAGGCTGGCTAGACCCTCCCTGCTTCTAAACCTGGCTCAAGTCCTCTATTCTTCCAGAGTCTCTTCAAGGATCGCCTGCCTCTGATCTGTCTTCTCTGCTGTCCCTAAGGGGACTGAAATGGTATAGTTCGCTCCTTGACTCATTTCATTCTGTCTCCTCCACTGTATTGGAAGAAACTCCTGGAGTCCCATCTTCTTAACTGCAGTACAGGAACCAGTACGACAAAGGAGACAGAGCATGTCTACAGGAGAGACGGGCAGTTGTGCCCTGTGCTTCTCGAGACACCTGAGGACTCACTAATTATTTATTGAGCTGCCCCCAGTCCAGCTCGGGGATGAATGCAGAAGTCCCACATAATGCAGTGACAAGCAGTTTGTTTGTCTCTTTAACAGAAACTGCCAGCTCAGTCCAGGTTGAATGTCTCCTGTGACCTTGACCTAGCAGCTGTCCTTGGGAGCCCTATTTTCTCCTTTGTTGGAGAAGTAGCAGCTACTCCATGAAGTCTGACCAGGAAGGGTGGGGTGGGGGGCAACAGAGAGGACTAAGTTAGGACTAAGTCTCTGTGGTCAGCCAAGACTCCCCAGTTCCAGCTCTTCAGAGGGGGGTCTCTGGCATCACTTACCGCCTCGAAGAAAGCCCTCAGGAAGTTGATCTCGTCCATCAGGGCGTCTACCTTGGCCTCCAGCTCCACCTTATTCATGTAGGCAGCATCCACATCCTGGACACAGAACATTTTGCGAGTGCCACCCTGCCCTGCCTGCCAGCTCCTCTGCCTGCTAGTTTGTGGGGAGAACTTCAGCTCCCAGAGTGAATACAGGTCCTGACTGTGGTCCGGGCCCACACTGGGTGAGGACTCGGCTCTCAGCAAAGACCCCCGGGCTCATTAACCGCTAATAACTGGAAGAGGTCCAAAGGCTCCTCCATCCTGGACCCCTTCATGACCTCCTTTGCCTCTCCCCAAGATCTGCCTCCATAGCTCAGTGCCACTTCTCTGCTTTCCGCTCTTGCTTGGCAGGACGTCCCAGGTAGGAGCTGGCAGCTGGTCCCTGTCCTGTACCACCCTCTTGAACCCAACTTTCTGTCCCAGAGACCCATCCCCTCTCCCACACCCACCTCCACGGGGCAAGGGTGCATGGAGATTTCCAGGTGGAGGTTTCCAGGTGGGCTCTGGAATCCTGACCCCCGATGATCTGGGTAACTGGGCAGCTAAACCTCCCTGAGCCTACCCTTCCACACCTCTACGGTGAAAGCTGCTTCCAGATTGGCTGCCCAGCTTAGACTGAGTCCTGCGGGCAGGGGCCCTCGCTAACATGGCAACTGGCATGCCCAGAGGTGCTGGGGTGAGGAGGGAGCACTGTGGCGGCCTTACCTTCTTGAGCATCACAAATTCATTCTCTGCTGCTGTGCGTCTGTTGATTTCCTCTTCGTACCTGTAGGAAGGGTCCAGAAGTTAGGGGCGTCGGGAGTGGGGGCTGGTGAGGTGGAAGCAGGCAGGCTGGGTGAGTTTCAGGGCTGACCTGGAAAGCTGCTGCTACCGCATCACCTGCTTATTGTACATGTGATTGCTCCCCTCCCCCCCAAGTCCCTCTTCCAACCCTGAGCCCCCAAAGCACAGAGTGACCCGTGTTCCTGCCGAGGAGGTTTCACGGCACTGTGACTCCCTGAGTGAGTTCTGGGGCCAGTGAGGGGCAGGCGCACCTCCTTTATAAGCCAGACTCTCCTCTGAGGGGAGGGCTGAGAGAAGTGTCCAGGTGGCTCTCCCAGACCCCCGCTGGCTCCCACACCCATACCCGGGTGCCCTTCCAGAGCCGCCCAGGTCACAGCCTCATGAGCTGGGAACATCTTTAGGCCAACGGGAGCTTGCTTTACTTTGCCTTTGGACAGCAACCCCACTGCCCATCTGTCCCCGAGAGGCATGTGGGGGTGCCCCCTCGCTCACGGATCTCCAGGAAGTCTCTAGGTGACCCACTCCCCGACCAATCCTCTCTGCCTCAATAGTTGTTCTTGCAAGACCACCAAGTGGGGTACTATATAGTGTGTGTGGCCAGGGAGACGCCTCTACCCTCTTGTATTTGCTATTGCGGTTGCCCCCCTGCAGTATTTAGGGTCAACCAGTGCCACTCTCCTGGCAGGACTCAGGGGTCCACCCATGGTCTGGAAGGCAGGTAATGCAGTACCAGGGACTGAGTCCATGACCTTACCAGGAAAGACACGAGCTGTCCAGCTCACGCCCACCCAGTGCCTGTGCTGTCTGTGGGGCCTGTGTGCCTCCCCTGAAGTTCTTTTGGAAACGATATGGTCTCCTTTCCTCCTTTTTCTTCCTCTAGAGCCTTGCCACCTGTTTTCTGTGTCTTTGCCAGAGGGCAGGCATCCCTTGGCCCCAGGTAGAACCTTTATGTGTCTGCCACAGGAATGACACAGTGAATAACCAGGAGCAGGTGATGTGGTAGCAGCAGCTTTCCAGGCCAGCCCTGAACCAGCAGAACCCACATCCCTCCTCTGGGCCTTTTCCCTTCTCAATATTGAACATTAGTCTCCTCCTCCAGGTAGCCCTCTTAGATGGAAACACTCTTATCCCATATTTGCGTACATATCATAAATGATCCACTTGCACTTCCTTCTCTTGTCTGTGTCTGCACAAAGATACCCAAATTGCCAATACGATGCTATATGCCAGGCTTTAGGTATTCTACCAAGCATTTTATGTGCAAGTTTTGACTTAACAATTCTCAACCCCGACCTCTGTGATATGGTTCTGTTAATATCTTTTTTTAAAAACAGGGCAAGGAACTGGGGTTCAGAGAGATTTGTTCTCTTGAGGTCCACATTCTAACTCCACTGACTATAAATCTTAAATGCCTCCACGAGGCCTTTCTGTGCTCCTGGGAATGCTCTGCAAAAGTGCTCAACAAGGGACCCATTCACCACGTGTGGCTGTTGAACACTTGAAATACACTCAGTGGTGGTTAATGGGACCAAGGAATTAAATTCTGCATTTGGTTCCACTTCAGTTTGAATATGATCAGTCACAGACAGCCAGTGGCTGCCATGCTGACTGAACTCTCCAATCTGAAGCTTCCTGCCACAGCCAAACAGAATCCAAACCTCCCTATCAAGTCACTTACTTGGGTCTGGAATGAGATGATTAGGACGAAATTAGAACAATGAAATTAAATAGGGCTGGAGTGATAGCACAGCGATAGGGTGTTTGCCTTGAACATGGCTGACCCGGCCGACCTGAATTCGATTCCTCCGCCCCTCTCGGAGAGCTCAGCAAGCTACTGAGAGTATCTCACCTACATGCCAAAGCCTGACAAGCACCTGTGATGTATTTGATGTGCCAAAAACAAGTCTCACGATGGAGACTGGGATCGCTCGAACAAATTGATGAACAACGGGAGGACAGTGCTACAGTGCAGTGCTACAGAAATGAAATATTAAATGTGCCAAGAGGCACTGGTTCACCGTTATGTTTAGCAGTGTGTGTGTGTGTGTGTGTGTGTGTGTGTGTGTCCCTGGGACTGCAGCAAATGCATTTCTATTGGCTTTCTGCACACCTCTTGGTCAGGGCTGAGTGATGGCCTGAGCTTTAGGTAAATTCGCAATGGGTTTGGGCTGAGACAATGGAGTGAGGGGCTCCCATTCCACAGGCTGTGCTTTGCACGATGGGTCTGTGTGGTGCTTGCTTGGTGCATCGTCCTCTCTCGTGTGTGCTTTTCATCCGCATCTATAACCCCGGTGCCTCTGCACTGCAGGGACCCTGTCTCCTCCCACTTTTCAGTCTAGCTCACTTCCGACTTCAGCATGCGGTCTAGCCCCCTGGGTCTGGGATCTTTCGGGGAGCCCTGGGGAAGGGCTGGGTGTACTCACTTGTTCTTGAAGTCCTCCACCACGTCCTGCATGTTCTTCAGCTCCGTCTCCAGCCTGGAGCGCTCTCCGCCCAGGCAGTCCAGCTGCCGCCGCAGGGTGCTGATGTAAGCTTCAAACATGGGCTCCAAGTTGGCCCTGGTGGTTTTGTGCTCCTGCAGGAGGCTCCATTTTGTTTCTAGGACCTTGTTCTGCTGCTCCAGGAAGCGCACCTGGCCCGGCCAGAGAGGGAGAGGCTGTGAGGGCTTCCGAGTAGCAGTCTTGTGGTGGTGGGGATGCTCAGGCCTTGGAGGGAGACAGCATTCCCCACTTCACACCTCCCAGTCCATGACAGTGCCCGGGCCCTGTTGCAGGCTCCCCACTTTCCTCTTCAGAAGAGCCAGAGCACAGGGAGCTCAGGCAGTGCTGTGCAGTGACTCCAACACATCTTGGAGTAGGACAGGCAAAGAGAGCAAGAGGAAGCGAGGAAGGAGAGGCGCCTAGCTCATGAATGGGCGAGCGCAATTCCCAAGGAGGGGGCAGGAGGTTCTTGGGAGGAAATGTTATCCGACTACTTTCTTCTGGATGTGATTTCTCTAGACCTCAAATTGGAATTCAGTGACCCATACTCCAGGGCTGCCCAGAACAAGTCACTATGTGGTCCCATGGAGGTCTCCTAGGCCTGGTTCCATCATGCGCCCCTGCTCCCGTTGCTGTCGTGAACGACTCCTTTGGTTTCCCCTCATTGCTGGGACAACTGCAGGGTGTGAGAAGTCTCCCCCTCCCCCCTCTCCAAGCCCTCCTCTCGGAAGTGTCTGGGCACACGGGGCCTCTGAGAAGAAGGGAGCTAGAATAGTGCTCCTCCTCCTCCTTCCTGGCACCTGCCATTCCCCCCTCCTGCACCCCCTCCCCCCGCTTGTCTCCTGTCATCAGAGGGAGACCAGAAGTGCTGGCTCCAGGTCTGCTTTCGTCCCAGCCCTGGACTCTCACGTCTTCTGCGTGTGAGCCAAGATAAAGACCTCAGAGTCAGGCTTTTGGAAACCTCACATCTGTTGGTGCAAACCCCAGACCAAGTGGGGCAATACAGGGTGGGGGGGGAGGAGGAGCCGCTGCCTCGGTGGTTAAGTTTGAGTTCTGAGCTCCAGAACTCAAGAGCTCCCAAACTCCAGAGCTTCCAGAGCCTGTCAGGCCCGTAGACACCTTAGTGTCCTGAGTGTTGAGGTGACACCCAGCACCAGAGCCAACGCAGAGCCTGGGTAGCTGGTCACTTCATTGAGCTCCAGTCTGAATGCCCAGTCTCAGTGCCCAGCCTCTGGAACTGGCTCTTTCCAGGCAGACAGCCCCTGCAGGTCCTTGAGAGAAGCCGTTCCTTCCCCACAGGGGGTCCTCTCTAGCACTGCAGGGCACCCGCAATGGGTGGGAACTCAGCTGAAACCACAGCTTCCTTCTCGCCCAAAAGAAAAGTATGGGCACCCCCTTGTCAAACCCAAGTGACTAAGGAGGTTGGCACGGAAGATCTGTCCTGTGGACAGAACAGGAGGAAGTGGCCCAGCCCACTCCTGGGAGCTGACCCACAGCCTTTCATTTCTCTCTGCCTTTCCCCTACTTGTGTCCACCCCACTGTTCTAATTTTAAATCTGTCCGTCCATGAGAAGGCCACGTCCTGACAGAGGGTCAGAAAGTGCTGAGTCCTGAAGTCGGGCCTTTTCCTGCTTCTACCTTGACGGGGTGGAAACCCCCGTCCACCCAGCGAGGTGGAGGACCACTGTTGGCGGGGCAAGTGGCACCTGGACCTCCGCGAAGCTTAGAGACCTTGACCCCACCGCCTGAGACTCAGCTGTTTGAGGGTGAGCCCACCGACCGCTCACCTTGTCGATGAAGGAGGCGAACTTGTTGTTGAGAGTCTTGATCTGCTCCTTCTCCTCCTTCCGCACCCGTTGGAGCGAGGGGTCGATCTCCAGGTGGAGGGGTGTCAGGAGGCTCTGGTTGACGGTCACCTCCTGGATACCCCCAGGTCCACACACTGCCCCACTCCCCATGCCGTAGCCACCAAAGGCGCCCCCCATTCTGCCCCCCAGACCCAGCCCATAGCCAGCACCCCCGAAGCTGGCCCGGCTGGAGCGGTAGCCCCCACTGGTGGAGATTCTCTTGCTACCCGCAAGGCCGTGGAGGCTCCGGGTGCCAAAGCCGCCCCCAAAGCTCTTCCCGGTTTGGCACACAGAGGAGGACGTGAAGCTGGTCCGGCAGCCGGGCATGAGGCTGGCCGAGGACGCGCTGAAGTTCCGGGTGCCACCGGACTTGATGGTGACGGAGGATCGCTGGCTCATGGTGGGAGTGGCTGTCCGAGAGAGGATCGAGACGTCCGCGGGGTCAGCAGAGCCTGGCTCTCCCCGCTCTCCTTGACTTTTATCCTGTGCAAGAACTGGGCTTGGCCGGAGAAGATCAAAGACCACTTTGCTGAGCTCACCCCGGTGGCATGTCTGGCCCCAGCCCGTCTCCCTGCCCCACTAATCATCCCGTGGAACACCCTCGCCGGGGCAGGACCGGACCTGGGGATTTGGGCCCGGGGCAGGTCTGTGGCCTGGGCCCCCCACCCACCTGCTTCTCAGCCACGTGCTGGGACACCCTCACTGCTTCTCCTCTGGGCCTGTGGTCTCTGTCCTGGGGCCTGGACCTGAGCCCCAGCACCTGCTGGTGCTCCTCTGTTCCCTTGGGAGAAAAAGGCCCCTGTCACTAGGGTTCCCTTGGTCTCAGCCGTGTCCTTTGATTCTCACGCTCGAGAGTGGTGCTGCCAGGGCAGATGAGAGTGCCACCATTGTCAGCTCACAGAGCAGCTTCCCTGAGGACTGACTTTATACCTGCTTCTGGAACCTTCCCATGGCTCCAGGAGGGTGGAGAACACTGTTCTTATTCTTGTTTTGCACAGGGAGCTGCCCTGTACCTCAGGGACTGAGGTCTCATGGCTGGTGAGGGATGGGCTGGTGCCGGGATACAGGTCTCCTACCCAGGATCATGGACCCTCACTGCAGAGGACAGTAGTTTGTCCAAGGGCAGAAGCCACTGGGGTTTTCATGGCCAGTTCCCAGCCACCCCACTTCATGCTCTGGTCCCAGAGGCTTAACTTACTCCCCGACTCCTACCCATTAACCCATTGATTTTCCTTCCCAGTGTCTTCCTTCCTTCCTTCCTTCCTTCCTTCCTTCCTTCCTTCCTTCCTTCCTCCCTCCCTCCCTCCCTCTGTCCCTCCCTCCCTCCCTCCCTTCCTTCTTTCCTTCCTTCCTTCTCTCCTTCTCTCCTTCCCTCCTTCCTTCCTTCCTTCCTTCCTTCCTCCCTCCCTCCCTCCCTTCCTTCCTCCCTCCCTCCCTTCCTTCCCACCCTCCCTCCCTCCCTCCCTCCCTTCCTTCTTTCCTTCCTTCTCTCCTTCTCTCCTTCCCTCCTTCCTTCCTTCCTTCCTTCCTTCCTTCCTCCCTCCCTCCCTCCCTTCCTTCCTCCCTCCCTCCCTTCCTTCCCACCCTCCCTCCCTCCCTCCCTCCCTTCCTTCTTTCCTTCCTTCCTTCTCTCCTTCCCTCCTTCCTTCCTTCCTTCCTTCCTTCCTTCCTTCCTTCCTTCCTTCCTTTCTTCCTTCCTCCCTCCCTCCCTCCCTTCCTTCCTCCCTCCCTCCCTCCCTCCCTTCTTTCCTTCCTTCCTTCTCTCCTTCTCTCCTTCCCTCCTTCCTTCCTTCCTTCCTTCCTCCCTCCCTCCCTCCCTTCCTCCCTCCCTTCCTTCCCACCTTCCCTCCCTCCCTCCCTTCCTTCTTTCCTTCCTTCCTTCTCTCCTTCCTTCCTTCCTTCCTTCCTTCCTTCCTTCCTTCCTTCTTTTCTTCCTTCTTTCCTTCCTTCATTCCTTCCTTCTTTCCCTCCCTCCCTCCTTTCTTTCCTTCCTTCCCTTACTTACTTCCTTCTTTCCCTCCCTCCCTCCTTTCCACCCTTCCTTCCTTCCTTCCTCCCTCCCTCCCTTCCTTCCTCCCTCCCTCCCTTCCTTCCCACCCTCCCTCCCTCCCTCCCTTCCTTCTTTCCTTCCTTCCTTCTCTCCTTCCCTCCCTCCCTCCCTCCCTCCCTCCTTTCCACCCTTCCTTCCTTCCTTCCTTCCTTCCTTCCTTCCTTCCTTCCTTCTTTCCTTCCCTCCCTCCCTCCCTCCCTCCCTCCTTCCCACCCTTCCTTCCTTCCTTCCTTCCTTCCTTCCTTCCTTCCTTCCTTCTTTCCTTCCCTCCCTCCCTCCCTCCCTCCCTCCCTCCCTCCCTCCCTCCCTCCCTCCCTCCCTCCCTTCCTTCCTTCCTTCCTTCCTTCCTTCCTTCCTTCCTTCCTTCCTTCGCACTGGGTGGTTACTCAGGGCTATTCCTGTCTGGGTGCCTTGGGGACAATGTAGTTCTGACCTTAGGTCTCCAGTATACAAAGCATGCACTCTAACTGTTGAACCATCTCTCTGGCCTACGTAGGCTGCTTCTTTGTTTTCCCATGTATGTATTTTTTGCCACTAGAGACCAAACCCAGAGTTTCATCAACCCCAAGGCTCACACAGGCCGGGCAAGTGTTTGACCGCTGAGCCATACCGCCAGCTTCCTTAGTGTCACTTCTCTCTTCCTGTCCGTTCTTCCCAGTCCCCCCACCCATCACCCTTGGGATTTCCCTCATTGCTCCTGGTCTCCACTTAACTCTGGCTCCATCCCCCTGTTGGTGTGGGGTGGGAATGGGGGTTCTGAGTCCTGGTTCCCAGGTGCAGCAATCCCACCCCAGACCCTAGCTTGCTCCTGGGCACTGGCCCCCGCCTCCAAGCCCGTGTGGGTCTCCGTGCTGGGCGGCACCCTCATGGGAGGGGGCCTTCGACTTTATAAACCAGGAATGTGGGAGCTTCCAGGATGTCTCACTGGCCTGCAATTACACCGACTTGCTCCTTGGCTTGGGGAAAGGCTGCCCTAGGGGCTGACTTTTAACTCCTGGCCTCACCTGTCATTTCTCTGCTGGGCCTGCAAGTCTGAAGCTGTAGGGAACACAGAGTCCTTAGGTTGGTGGGTTGCGTCCCCACCCCACCCCGCCTCCCAGTCTGCTGTGGGGAGGGCAGAGCTGGCCCGGAGGGACTGGACAGGAGTGGGAGGCAGGGCAGAGCCTCTGCCCAGGGGCCACACTTCTCAGAAGAGGCATCCCCAGGAGAGGTAGGAGGAAGTGGGCAGAGCGGGAGGGTGTCCGCTGCAGGCAGTGAGTCCTTGGGGAGGAAGGAGACAGTATCTGCTGGTCTGGACCTTTCTGCCGTGGGTTGCTGAGCCGGAGGAGGCCTGCAGAAGGACGGGGTCTGTTCTCCCCATACCCCACCCCCCCACCCTGCCAAACGGAGGGCAACACCAAGTACATTCCATTGCATTTAATAGATACGGGGGGGGGGTGGCTGAGGAGACACTCCCCAAATGGATGCAAGGCAGCACTGAGGGAAGGCTCCCAAGAGGCGCCAGGAGGGAAATTCAGGAGGGAGGGGACTTTGGCACAGAGACAGAGAAGGCACCCAGAGCAGTCTGGCTCGGGCCGGGGAGGGGGATTCGCCAGGCCATGGGGAGGGCAGGATGTTCAGGGGCAGGGCTCTGCGATGCCACAGCAAGAGGGGCGGCATCAGTGCTTGAAGCTCTTCCGGCTGGAGGACGTGGTGGAGATGAACTTGACGCTGGAGCCACCGCCTCCAAGGCTGCGGCAGCTGCTGGCGCTAAAGCCGGAGCCTGCCAGGCCCGCACCCAGGCTGTGGCTGCTGTGGCCACCGGGTGCGAAGGAGTAGCCGCTGCCTCCACAGAGACCCAGGCCGGATCCTCCCAGGCTGCTGCCACCGCTATAGCCGCTGGACATGGTGGACGTGACCACCGCTGCCAGAGGAGGAGAGGAGCGGGGTCAGGCTGGGAGAGGCAGCCCAGAAGTCGGGCTGTGTTCTGAAGCGCTGAGGGGCCCTGGGGTCTGCTCAGGTAGCTGCCTCCTCTCCCAACCCCAGGGTTGTCAGTGTGGGGTCCCTGACCTGTGCCTCCGCAGGGACTTTCCTGAGCTGAATTCCCGAGGGGAACAGTGTCCTGACCACCTTCTTCCATCTCTCTACTTGGTACCTCTCTTCTGCTTCCACAACTCACTGGGCACAAGCCTCTCCTAGGGCGCTGTTTGGGGTGTCATTCTCTGGCTCCTGTTGTCCTGGGCCCTTCAATTAGGCCCACTTTCCTCTGGACCGAGGCAGGGGTCTGTCTTCCCTCTGAAAGCCTCCGGTGTGTCTCTGGGCCTCTCCTGATTGCCCCCGGACTCCCCTCAGAATTCCTGAGAGGCTGGAATATTTCTGATTGAACAAGAGACCTATAGCCCAGTGGGTCTATGTGCTCCCCTTACATTCCTCCCCGCCCAACTTTGGAAACCACCATCCCCTCAAACAAGTCACAACCCTTGCGTTCTTCAGGGGCACACTAACATTAGAAAAATGGATTCCCATTTTTGGTTTTTTGTTGGTTTTGGTTTTTGAGCCACACCTGGCGATGCTCAGGGGTTACTCCTGGCTCTGTACTCAGGAATTATTCCTGAGTTGTGGAATTATTGGGGAATCATATAGGATGCTGGGGATCAAACCCGGGTCAACTGTGTGCAAGGCAAATGCCGTCTCCACTGTACTATCTCTCCAGCCCCTGGATTCCGTTTTGAATGAACTGTTTCCTCCTTAAATTACATGGAAAGTCTAACAGACCCGTTCTCCCCACCCACACTGTGACTGAGACCCTGTTTGGAATTAGGCTCTGGCAGATGTAATCCAGCTGAGATAAAGGTAAGGGTGACCCTAATCCAGTAGGACTAGTGTCCCTCTAAGGAGAGGGGAGATGTCCTTGTAAGGACAGACAGACAGGAGGGCTGGAGCAATAGCACAGTGGGTAGGGTGTTTGCCTTGCACGCAGCCAACTCGGGTTTGATCCCCAGCATCCCATAAGGTCCCCTGAGCATCGCCAGGCGTCATTTCTGAGTGCAGAACCAGGAGTACCCCTGTGCATCTCTGGGTGTTACTCAAGAAGCACAGAGAAAGAACAAACAAAGGACAGAGAGACAGGGAAAGGTCATATTATCGGAGGCAGAAGGGGGTGATACAGTTGTAAAAGTGGGGAGACCAGAGGCCTGGTGGCAGGGAGAGGCAAGGACGAACTTTCCCCCACAGACACCTCGGTTTTGACTTTCTTGCTTCCAGAACCATGAGACAACGCGTCTCACAGTAACCCTGCGTGTGGGGCTTTGTCGGGGGGGTAGCCCCAAGAACAGAGTTCAGATGTTTCAGTGCTTTCCAGAGACAGGGAGGAACGAAGCCTTGGCAATTAGGCTTCAGTCCCAAAAATGAGTCAAGAAGACGGTGGAAGGTGGATACGGGGGAGGGGATGTCTGAGGGCCCGGGGTAACCTGGAAGCTACACTTTCCTGCCTCATGCATCAAGAGTGCACTTGCGCCTGGTTTCAGGAGGTGGAGCAAGTCCCTTCTCTCACCTCCAGAGGCCAGCAACGAGCTCTGGGAGCCAAGCCCTGCTTCCAGCTGGCAGCCGGAATCCAGCACCATGGCAGCTGGCTGACACCTCTTCTGTTTCTGAGGGAACGCACCCAACTGCTCCCCTTTGGGTGCTCTCACTGCCTTGGCAACCTGGGGTCACCTTCTGCAGATACCCTCTGCAGAGGCTCCCCAGTTGTTTCTGGGAGGGCTGCCTTGTGGACAATCCCCTAGGATCCATTGGAAAGGTTCCCTTGGAAGGTTGAACAGGGCTGGAGTTTCTACAAATCCCATCTATCTCGATTCCCATCTTGAGCTAGTCCCGAGCCCCAGGAAGATCCATGTGGATTCTTGGGTTGGGGAGGCTCGGCTCATGGGTTTTCTACAGCTGTGCTCAGGCCTGTGCAGGCTCTGCAGGTGTAAGAGGGTTGAGAACCACGGCTCCAAACGCAGGCAGTAGGATCCCAGAAAACCCCTCCTCACCCCTCGGTGCTTGCAAAGAGGCAAGAATCCTGCCCTGAACGATGCTCTCCTTAATAGTGCTCTCCTTCCAGGGAATTCAGGCCTCAGGTTCAGAGTGAACCCAGCCAGGTGGTTCCCTCTGCCTGTCCATCACACGCCCTTCCGCCTCCCTGCCCACCCCCCAACCCTCTCCCACACATGCAGTAAAGGCCACGCAACGGGGTCATACTTACAGATGTTAACGGGAGAGACGCCTTCTCCACTCAGCCTGGTGGGAGAAGGGAAGTAAGCAAGTCAGCAGTGGGCCAGGTAAGGGGGGAATGTGCAACTGATCTAAGAGTTTTTCAAAGCCCTTTGGTATTTTATTATAGAAGCAATGGAAACTTCCACATCGATATTGAATATTGTATTAGACATTTATAATCTAGGGCCAGAGAGATATTACAGGGTTTAAGGTACATGCCTTAGCATATGACTGATCCTGGTACCTCATGTCGGTACAAACCTGGATACCGCTGAGTATAGCACCAGGGTAATCCACCACAGCATCTGAGCAGTACCACATCCTTGGGCCCTCCCAATGAACCACATGCATGGTTCTGAGAATTGCCGGGAAGGACCCCAGGCACTCCTGAGTATCTCTTGAGAGACACCCACCACTCACCCCGAAAACAAAACAAAACAAAACAAAACCTAAAACAGTAATGAATGGTATAATGTAGAGTTTGAAGTTCAGAGGAGCAAAACCAGTTATTTTAGAATTAGATTTAAACTAGGGAGATTTAGACTTCCGGAAAGGAAAGCTAATCGTGCATTGAGGTGAACAGAAAGGCATGAGATGAGAAAATCTCTCCATCCACAATGAATTTCTTTGCACCGGGCAGTGATGGGTTGTTGGTGTGGTGAGGTCTGAATCACACATGCAATAACAACAAAAATCTGCCTGCTTTTGTTGTAGCAACGAGAGTATTTTCAGTTAGCTTCCCGAGGAAGGAGGGACGCTCATTCTCACACATGCACTTAGATGACTAAGAGCTAATATTCATGGTGTACCTGTTATCTACCTGATGCTACCTCGTTCTCTCCACGACCCAGTGAGTAGGCATTTGTCTCTCACTCTGACAAGCAGTGACACTGTCACTCAGAGAGGTTATGCCAACAAAACTGGATTTAAAGCCAGATTCTTTAGATGCCCAAACCCGTGTGTATCGTTGGCCAGGAAGTTGAGTGACTGCTAACACTGGTGAAGAATATGTGTGCCCAGCATTGTTCTCAGAGCTTCACCTGTTTTCTTCTAACTAACACTATTGTTGTTTCTGGTTTACAGAAGAGGATTCTGAGCCAGGGAGATGTTAAGGGCTTTGCCCTGAGTCACACGGCTGGTCTTGCCAGAGCTCAAAATGCCCACTGTGACTGGGGGTCAGGGCACTTGGTCTTTATCCTATCACTGAAGAAATTTATGGTAACAGGTAGAAACAGCTTTACCTACGGTTCCTTGACTAGTTAGTGATAGAACCTTAAGTCCAAATCTTAGTTTACTCCCAGTCCAAAGCTATTCCCATCACTTGTCCAGTCCTGCCTCCATTAGGTAGAATTTACTTTCATGGGGTCCTAGAGTTTTACAGCTCAAACATAGGAGGTTGGCAATGGTTTACTAGAAGAATAGCAGCGACCGTCCACCATAGCCCAATTGCACCCGCCTTTGGCCCCCTCTTCCTGACGAGACAGGCCCAGTTCTCTGCGCTCACCTGCACTCCTCGCCCTCCAGCAGCTTGCGGTAGGTGGCGATCTCCACGTCCAGGGCCAGCTTCACGTTCATCAGCTCCTGGTACTCGCGCAGCAGCCGCGCCATGTCCTGCTTGGCCTTCTGCAGGGCCTCCTCCAGGTCTACCAGCTTGGCCCGCGCATCCTTGAGGGCCAGTTCCCCACGCTGCTCTGCATCGGCGATGGCTGTCTGCAGGCTGGCGCACTGGAAGACAGGGAGGAAGCCATGAGTCTTAACCTGCCGACCCTCGAGGTTGCGTGGCCATGTGGGGACGCGTCTGCAGGACATAGAGTACCACCTGGAAGAACTGGGTGCATTCTCGAGCTGCCCAAACAGTACCTGCTTCTTGACATTATCGATCTCGGCTCTCAGCCTCTGGATCATGCGGTTCATCTCAGAGATCTCCTGCTTGGTGTTGCGGAGGTCATCACCATGCCGGCCCGCGGAGACCTGCAGCTCCTCATACTGAAAGGTCCAGAGCAGGGTCAGTGGGATCTCCAAGCGCCCAGCCCGGGCACCCCAAGTGCGCGTTGAGTCTGTTCCTCGGTGCCTCAGAAGCCCCATCCGTGGACTGATCACTCCCTCACCCCCGGGCGCCACAATTCGGCTGAGCTTTCTGGAGCACACTTGCTTCCCAGACACGGATGCAACCCTGTGACTATCACAGAGCAGAAGCACTGTGCACTCTCCTCATCACAGGTGTGGGAAGCTACAGAATGTAGAGGTCCTGATGCAGGAAGTGCCTCAAGTGATGTGGGCCCTCCCCACAGGGAACAAAGGGCCTGGCGAGGTGTGAGAGAGGGGTGAGGGGCATTGGAGGTCAAGGAGGTGCTTCCAGAAAGCGGAGGAGCTCATGCTGTGCCTGGGTATGAGAAAGAGTGATCTGAATGATTGGGTTGGGCATGGGGGGCATCTAGAACATTCCAGACAGGAAAAACAGTTTCTGTGAAGCAGCACAAAGGAACATGGCCCCAAGAATGAGCAACAAGCTGAACACGGTCCTTGGGGAGTTCCTGGCTGCGGGACGGACATCCAGACCACTAAGGACCAGCTCTTTTAAGAGCCCTTTGAGTCCCAGAGTGGGGGAAGTAGGAGGAGGAAAGGAGAGGGTAGAAGGCAGGGGATGGAGGGAGGCTGAATGGAGCCCGGTCTGGAAGGTTCTAATGGATCCTGTCTCTCAAGCAGCTCTCATCTAAAGATGCAAATTTCCCCAGGTGGTTGACCATTGGGTGGGGTTCCCCAACCCTCTGCATTCCTCCAAAGGCTTCTGCAGCTGTGGTTTCTCTTGACTTCCTCCTCTGCCTCATATGTGCCTTGTTCCACCAGGCGTTCATTCTGCCTCTCAGCCCCACAGGCTGGTCTTGAACACCTTCCCCTCCCTCTGGCCACCTTCAGTCCTCTTGCTTCTCAAAGTGGACTGAAAGTCCACCTCTTCTTGGAAGCACTTTATTATGCTGCCTCTTCACTTCCTATTCCCTTGCCCACTCGCTTCACACCTCCCAGACACAGAGTTCTGTTTGTACTTAATTCCTTCCTAGCCCTGCAACTCACTGGGCATGGATGGGAGTTATGCGTGCCTTGAATAAATAAGTCTTTTAGTCACAGCTTTATGGCTGCTGGCTGGCTGTTTTGGGGTCTCACCCAGCACCCAAACGGATTGTAAGTGATGAGGTTATTGAGCGCTCAGCATGCCTGGCCACACGCTGGTACATATGGATGGGTTTCCGCATGCTTAACAAGCTAAGTTTTCACAGCCTCAGAAATACTTCTGCCAAATGCAAAGGGATAAAAACTTGCATATCCCCTGAGGCCTGTGGCTACTTGCTGAAGGATGTGTTGGGACTGCAGTGAACACTCTGCCCAGGGCAGATCATGGAAGTGCCCACAGTGCCCACCTTAGTCTGGTACCAGGACTCAGCCTCAGCCCGGCTGCGGTTAGCGATGTCCTCGTACTGGGCCTTGACCTCGGCGATGATGCTGTCCAGGTCCAGGGAGCGGTTGTTGTCCATGGACAGGACCACGGACGTGTCACTGACTTGGGTCTGCATCTGGGCCAGCTCCTGCAGGGCCGCAAACCCAAGGTCACTGTGGCAGAGAAGAAGCCACCCAGGAACCCTGGGACATACCACTCTTCTAGGGCAGGAATCCCCTCCTGGGCAGCCCTGCTGAGGCCTTCTCCTGCACACATCCAGCCAGAGAGGGGCCCTCTGGCAATTCAGGAGCAAGGCAGTGGGAGTATGAGCCCAGTAGCTTGTCTCCAGGCTCCTATCCTGGTAACTTTCCTAACTATAGAGCAGAGGTGCCAAATCTAGTTGACCTCTCACCCCTTTTCAAAAAGAAAACTCACTCAGTGTTCCGCTGAAAATTAGCCTTTTAAAAATGAACAACAAAACTGCACCCCCATATGCATCCTTGGCTACCACTGCCTTCCCTGGATTGTTCTAGCACCTTGATAAGGCGGGGTAGAGGGTAAAATCAATCACTTTCGGAAACACTGGAGTGAAGAGTGAGTTTTCTCTGAATCCAAACTACTGGGACTTGAAAAGGACCCAGGTTGGTTCATATGCCAGCATGTAAGAATTCTGCAGGATCGGTGATCTCAGGGTGCTGTTGCCCCTCGCAATGTGACCCCATCCCTCTTTCCTTCCCTGTCCCCAGACCCAGGTTCCAGTGCTCAGGAAAAAGCATCTCAAATGGCAAGAAGCACCTTGACCAGGGGATTGAGCACATCCAGCCCTCCTGAGCTGTCCTTGGAGGTAGAGGAAGTGAGTTTGGATCCTTTGGGGGTGTTACCTCTTGATCTGGGATGAGAGAGCCTCTCCAGCTGGTTACGAGGCAGGGTCAGAAGCTCAGGGCTGCAGTAGGCTTCAGTGTGGCCAGATTTCAGGCACCACTCTCGGGTTCCCAATCCCCCCATCCCCCTGGAGAATCTGGGGCCCAGAGCTGGGCAGGGGCACGGTGGACACCAGTTTCTGCAACATCCCATACTTGCTAGCTTCAGACCTAGGAGGAACAAACACACCCACGCGCTCCTACCGCCTCAAAGAGCATCCGGAAGAAATTGGTCTCATCGGTCAGAGAGTGGACCTTGGCTTCCAACTCTATCTTGTTCATGTAGGCGGCGTCCACATCCTTGAAGGAGAGGGGTTCTGAGACCCTGGCCCCAAGCAGCACTCCAAAAAGAGTTGCACATGTCCAATTCCCTGTGCGCCCCCTTCTGGGCTGGGTTTCAGCAAACTCTGTGTCTGGGGTTCAGCACTCAGGGTGAGTGATTGCTGAGAATTGGGGGCTTAGGTTCCTGAGTGAACAGAGACCCAGCCAGGATTCTCAAGGCCAGGTCTCTCCAGGGAACTTGAGCAGATTTGTGCTCTCCTCAGTGTGCCAAGGGTGAGGGCACATTTCCGGAGAGACCTAGATGTTGGGTTACCCCACACTATGAGTCTCCTCTTTTGAGAGAGATTTCCACCCACCTTCTTCAGGGCCACAAACTCGTTCTCTGCTGCTGTGCGCTTATTAATTTCATCCTCATACCTGTGAGGGCAGAAAAGAGGGGGTGGATGTTGGGGAAACCTTCCTGGGAGGAGTGAACGGTGCTGCAGGAGCAAGAGTTCAGGCACCTCGAATCTGCTTCGGCTCTCCTGCTGACCTGCGTGTGACTCTAGTGACTCACGTAACCTCTCTTTCCTCCTCTATAAAAGGGGATAATCTATGCTGCTCGGTTTCTGTAAGACTAGGTGGTGGGCACAGAACTAATGAGAAGAGCAAGAGGTGCTGATGTAACTCCACCTTCTTCGAGCTCCCTAATTCCAGCCTTGAAAGAATTCTGCTGCTTGAAGTGCCTACTAGAACTGTGTGTGGGACAGGTGGAGGGGAACTTTATCTATTGGACACAGTTCCTAAGAAATTTTGCAGGCCCTCTCTCTCCCCTCGGTGAAACTCGGGGGTTGTGGGGGGGGGCGCTTCTGAGAAGTGTGCTTCTTGAAACTAGGTGTAGTGCAATAGTGCAAATTCAGAAGCCCAGGGAAGCCAGCTAAGGGCTTGACTAGCCTGCTTTTCCAGGGCATGTTTCATGCTGCCTTGGGGATTGTGGTCCTTCCACACTTGCCTTCTGGAGACTCAGATCGCTATGGTTACACTCTAACGTATGTGCATACTGAAAAGGCAAGTGGCCTCAGTAACAGAGCCATGTCCAGTGGAACTAAACCACATGCTGGCTGCAAAAGAATGTCCTCTCTTTCCACTTGGAGAGAGGCTACAGAGATCCCTCGAAGGCCAGGGGATGTAGAACAAACCTCTTGCAAACAGCCCGATCAGAGTGTCCCTTCATTTCCCCACACGGCAGCATCTTCACATGCCCAGTATTCCAACTGATGCTGCCATCTGCTTCTTGGCACCTCCCAGATAACCGTGTGGGCCCACAGCCTGCCTGTCACTTACCTGACTTTGAAATCTTCAACGACGTCCTGCATGTTCCTCAGCTCAGCGTCCAGCCGGCCCCGCTCGCTGGTGACGCTGTCCAGCTGCCGCCGGAGGTCATTGATGTAGGCATCGAAGAAGGGCTCCAGGCTCTGCCTCACAGTCCTGGTACCCTGATCCTGCAGGAGGCTCCACTTGGTTTCCAGGACCTTGTTCTGCTGCTCCAGGAAGCGCACCTGGTTGGGGGTAGGCGAGGAGGGTGAAATCTGGGGACCAGGGGGGAGGCTGAGCCCCAACACACCCACAAATAAGGGAAAGAAGAGAAGCACAAGTCCCACTCGACAGCCCTCTGCCAACCACAAGTGGACACCTGCAGCTCCCAGTGAGAAAGCCCTGGGTGCTGCCCCGGTGTTCTGAGGGCTCCCACTGAACTCGAATCTTGGGAATAGGCAGTCTGTGGGGTGGGGGTAGGGGTGGGGGTCCATTCATGCTTGAGAGCCTCAGCAATGCTGCTCTGGGTTTGCTCAGTAGAAATCCCTCCTGTGGAGAACAAGTTCACTCTTCCCTGAGTGGTGGTGACTGGACCAGTCCATGAAGCTCCTCAGAAGAACAAGGGAAAATTTCTAGAAGCTCCTGTGGAGCAAGTGGTCTCACCAGGGGTTGCCTCATTTTCCTCAGAGGTCCTGTGGCGCTGTGGTTGAGGAAGGACACCCCACCACTGCTCCTGCTGGGGGCCGGGGTCCCACCCAGAGTTCAGGCTGCTGATTCCACAGAACAGATGAGACTTCCTCTCACCTTGTCGATGAAGGAGGCGAACTTGTTGTTGAGGGTCTTGATCTGTTCCTTCTCCTCCTTCCTCACGCGCTGGATGGTGGGGTCGATTTGCAGGTTGAGGGGTGTCAGGAGGCTCTGGTTGACGGTCACCTCTTGGATACTCCCAGAGGGGCAGATGGGGAAGCCGGGGCTTCCAAAGCCCCCTCCCACCCCACCCCCACACCCAAACCCACTGCTGACCCCAAACCCGCTGCCCACCCTACCGCCAAAGCCACTCCGGAAGCCGCTTCCACATCCACCCACAGAAACCCGCTTGGTGCCCCCCAGGTTGTAGAGGCTGCGGCTTCCAAAGGCAGCGCCGTGCCCGCTGACCCTCCCCAGTCCTCCACTGGTCCCTGAGGGCCGGACCATGGAGATGGAGCTAAATCTGGAGCGTCCATGGGCTGGGCTGGTGGCTGAGGCCGCACTGAAGCCCCGACGGCTGCCCGTCTGGAAAGTGATGGTCGACTGCCTGGACATGGTAGCTGAGGAAGGCGGCTGGGACGCGCTCCTGTCAGGGCTGATGAAGGGGGCCGGAGGAGATGGGGCATCTGGACAGCCCCAGGCCCCCTGAGCTTTTATCGGCCCTTGGCAGGGGCGGGGCAGGCGGATGGCAGCCTCTGATGGCATCCCCCAGGCATTTGCCAGGCCTGAGCTCACATCACTCCACTCTGGAAATGGGGTGAAAAAAAAGCGCTACCGGTTGGTGTTGGTTCCCGGGCATCCCTCCCTCCCCCACGGTGGAAACTCCTTTCTAGTTGCAACTTGATCAGCAGACGAATGAGAAGCACGTTAATTGCTTTCAGTCATGGCCTAATCATGCATCTTTTCATGGACGCAAAAACACTGTCTCATCTCCAAACCGCTTCCTTAGGCCTGGGACCGACTCGCTTCTGTCCAAACAGTTTGTGTCAGTGTGAGGGCTGGAGGGTCACCGTTTCCTGTTCCTTCCTGTTGCTTCTTATTCCTGAGCATTTTCTCAGCGGTGATTTCCCAGCAACAACCCCCTCACCTCCACCGCGCCACCACCATACTCCCCCCAAACGGTCTTTCCAGATCTTGAAAATCCAGCCCTACCTGCCCCTTCCTGAGAAATCCACCTGGTTCTCACTGCCCTTAATTTTACTCCTGAGCTTCCGAATCCTCTCTGCACACATCGGGACTGTGAGTGTGCGTGTGTGCACGTGTGGACTTGGCTCCTCTGTAAACGCCTTGAGTCTTGGAGTTGGAGACCACCCAGCGGGGAGTCTGGAGCCGGGTGTGTACCCCTCGCAGGGCACTGGGTGCTGAGTGGCTGTTTGCCGTGTCTCCTCATACAGTCAAGTTGGCAAATCAGGAAGGACCCGCAGCAGGATTGGAGAGGTGCTGTGCCCATGTTCTGCGCCTTCAACAACAGACTCTCAGTCCCGGTGGGAGACCAGTGGGAGCCTCTGACTGCATAGGGGGTTACCAGCTTCCAACTTGGTTTGGGGCTGTCATAGCCCCTGAGTCTCCCAGGCCAGATTCTCCTTCCATTGAGACCAGAGTTCCTGGGCCTTGAACCTTCCAAATACGTCTTGGCTTATGTGAGGCCGAGATTCTTTCTTCTTCTATTTGACCTGTGAACCATGCGCATCCACTGACAAACTGTCTGGGAGCCTGCAAGGCTGCGCACGGCCCCTTTTCTGCATCTCTGCTCCCCTCTCCACCATGCAGGGCACCAGCGGCAAGAGATCCTTTTGCCTTGCTGGTTTCTAGCTCTCTTGTCTTTTGGGGGAAGGGGTGCACCCAGTGGTGTGGGGGCTACTCCCAGAGCAGAACTTGGGGGTCGCTCAGGGAATTGTGTGGTGCCGGGGATGGAGCCCAGGGCTCCTGCATGCAAAGCTGGCACGCCCAGTCCTCTGAGCCATCTCAGACCCTGACTTCTAGCTCCTGACCGGGACTTGGAGGAAAGGAGCATGCAAGCAGAGGGATGCATGTGCTGTGTCCGTGTGGTAGAGGAGGACTCAGCACTGCTAGGCTGTGGGGGGCACAGATGGAGCCCAGGCTCTGTCCCACGGGTGCCTTTCCTGAGGGTCACGGTCATCTTGCCTGATGCCAGGATCTAGGCTGCTCTGTTCTCGGAGTTCCTTCCTCCGTGGAGCGGCATCCGGGGGCAGAACCTCTCCTCGGTGGAGAGGCTGTAAGAGTCTCAGTTTGCCCAGGAACCTGTGAGTCACGAGCTTTGTTGACCCAGCGGCGCTCAGGAGTTTCTCACCTGTGGCCAGCTCTCCCAGGCCCTAGCGGGCATCGGGTGGAAGCAATTGCCGCCTTTGTCTTCTGTTCTCTGGGCAAGATCATCTTCTCCCAGAAGAAGGGACACTTGTTTTCTGAGCCAGGCTAAGCAAAGCTGGGCTTTCCAAGGAGCAAAGGCAGGTGGAGGGTCTAGGATGGGGAGCATCTGCGCTGGATGAATTAAGGCCTATGCATAGGTGACCAAGGCTGGGAATGTCTCCCCCCACCACAGAGCCACCCCCGACCCTACTGTTCTTTATCACGCAGCTGAACATACTTTGCTGGACTTGCCTTCCCTTAGCGTTGCTCCCTACTCCCTACGTCCTCTTTGGGGAGCCCAGGTCCTGTCGGGTCTCTCATACCCTTTAGATGTTCATTTCCCTCAGCCATAGCCTCTGTCTGGTGGTGCTCAGCGCCTTCCTTCCTACCACCTCCGAGCTCCTGGCCTGGCTGCTGGTTTGTGAGGTTTGCTTGGCCTTGGGTGAGAGAAATGGGGGGAGAGAAGCGTCCACCTCTCTGCCTCCCTCACTTCCTTTTCTGGGATCTTTCACCTTCACTGTGACCTTGATCCTGGTGGGAAATGACCCCATGAGTGTCTACCATATCCAGCCACTGACCACCTCCCCTTCAAAACCTCAAAACATAGGTATTAATATTCTTGTCTTCCTTCTTCTCAGAAACCAAGGGAAAAATTCTTTTTTGGCTTTCACCCACTTTATAATTCTGCCTGGACTTCACCCTAAGAAGTTAGATCAAATAAACTGTGTCCAGGCATACCCTTTGGCATATCTCTGAGACCACCCAGGTGTGGCTCCCATGTCAATATGTTTCCTGGGCTTAGTGTTCCTTTGAGGGACAAGGATCTCTCCACTGTTAACACTACCCCACTTGCTACACAGTATTGTGGCTGATTTCCCACTGACGTGGGTTGTGTAATTGGAAGAAGAGCTATTTAGAGCCTTTCTGTTCTGTTCCCCAAATCTCCACAAGCTCTCTGATTGTAGAAGACTGGGTGTTTCTGGAGGAATTTTGAGGTTTGGGGCTGTGGTAGATTCAAGAATTAAGGCCTATGCATAGGTGACCAAGGCTGGAAGGGGTGAATGTCTCAGTTTCTCTTCTCAGAGAGGGGCCTCCCGTCTTCAGAGAAATGGGGAGGCTTTCAAGGATGCCAAGGAGACCCCACTGGGCAGCAGGCAAGGGCAGTGAAGGAGGCCAGGAGGAGTGGGGAGGGAGGTCAAAGGCATGCTGCCCCCTGAAACCAAGAGGCAGGATGTAATGGCAGCTTTTCCTTCCAACCTGGTGGCCCAGAGAGGTGCAGACTAGACAGCAGGCCAGCTGGGGATGCGGGAGATTAGGGGACCCTCTGGAGCAGGCTGACCTAGAACCTAGAATCAGCTCCTGGGCACATGTCTGAGGGCCCAAGCAACAATGCCACCCCTGAACCCCCCTTTTCTTTCTTTTTTTTCCTGGTCATGAGTTGCATTTTTATTTATTTATTTATTTTTAAAATTTTTATTAGCGAAACACCATGAGGTACAGTTTTAGACTTACAAATTTTTGTGCTTGGGTTTCAGTTATACAGTGATCGAGTACCCATCCCTCCACCAGTGCCCATTTCCCACCACCACGGATCCCAGTATCCCTCCCACCCCCCATCCCCCCACCCCACCCTGCCTCTGTGGCAGGGCATTCCCTCCTGTTCTCTCTCTCCTTTGGGGTGCTGTGGTTTGCGAAAGAGGCATGGGGTGGCAATCATGTTCCCTGACCCCCCTTGTGGGCAACTGGAACAATGCATCTGCATGTCTGGGCTTTGTAGGAGCATGTCAGAAGGTCTTGGTCGCAGAGGGAAGGGGGTCCTCCCACTTGCTTTGGGAGTGGCTCCACACAACCTGATTGCTGTCTGGGGGACTCTATCTTGGCTAACAGCTGTGATTAGCTCCACTGTCAGGAGTTCATGGTTCCAGGATGGGAGAACAGTGAGGAGATGCTGCCTTACCCTTCCTGGTGTGATCACTGAAAGAAAGGAAGCTGGCGGTCCTACAGGGTGGGAGTAGGGGGATAGAAGCTGGGCTTCCAGCGAGGGAGGTAACTGTGTGGCATTCCTAAGTTCCAATACTCCGTGCTCTGGACGGTCAAAGCTCCCCACGGATGGGGCCTCCCCATGTCACGTGCCCTTTGTCCTTGTTTAGGTGACCATGGTTATGCTTTGAAGGCACTCTGTGTGCGGGGGCGGGGGAAGTGTGTGTGTGTGTGTGTGTGTGTGTGTGTGTGTGTGTGTGTGTGTCCAGAATCCACCCCATTCAGGACCTGGACCACTGCATGCATGGGGTAAACCTTCCTCCTCTACTCCCATCCCTGCCCAAAGTATTTGGGCATTGCCCTCAGCCCTAGGGCCAATAGGAGGGTCAGAGCTGTGCAGGGGCAGCTGAGTCCCTGCCCAACACCCCCCCCCCCCCCCACCCAGCAGGCCATTTTTAAACTGGTGCTGGGGGCTGGAGCAATAGCACAGCGGCTAGGGCGTTTGCCTTGCACGCAGCCAACATGGCCGACACAGGTTCGATTCCCAGCATCCCATATGGTCCCCCGAGCACCGCCAGGAGCAATTCCTGAGTGCATGAGCCAGGAGTAACCCCTGAGCATCTCCGGGTGTGACCCAACAAGCAAAACAAACAAACAAACAAACAAAAAACTGGTGCCTTAGAGAAGCAAGTGGGAGGACCCCCTTCCCTCTGCGACCAAGACCTTCTGACATGCTCCTGCAAAGCCCAGGCATGCAGACACATTGTTCCAGTTGCCCAAGCTCCATCTCTAGTGCCAGCCACCTCTGGGTAGAGAGATGAAGCGCAGGAGCTCAGCCTTTGGAGTGGAAGGAGCCTTAGTGAGGAGGGAACCAGGGTGTGAGCATCGGTGAGCCCCGCCCGGGAGAAACGCCTCATATCCCAAGACGGAGGAGGTGATGCCAACATCCCGAGCGCCCACAGTGCACCGAGAGAAAGCGTCTGAAGAGATGGAGGCGGAAGGGATTGCAGGGTGTCCTGGACATTCAGCCCGGGGTGTTAATGACTTCCTTGTTCCCAGCATCGTTCCCAGAGCTGCTTTGCCAAGTTTCCCTGGTTCCTGCAGAGAGGGAGCTGCCAAGCTGAGTCCCTGGAGCGGGGCATGTGGGGGGAGTGTGAAACGCACCTGCGGCGCCTCCTGGGTGGCAAGGCCTCACAGGGCCCATGGGA